ATTTGTGCATCAAATTCATTGGCTAGCTGATGCTCTGCAAGTATAGCCAGGGAGAACATTGATGCCATGCTAATGGGCAAAGAGAGGTGCATGCGACTGATAGTAGGAATGATGTGGTCAATAATTAAATTTCCCTTGACAGTTCCTTTTTAAAGCTTGTAAGAGGTATACAAGAGGTGACTATCTTCAATTCTTACCTTTCTTTGGCATTCTGAGCAAATTTGCAAGGTCCTATGGTGAAGTGCCCTCCATGGCAGCAACTAAAACACAAAGACCCAGACCAGCAATAAGTACTAATAAATATATGGAGCCTCCACCAGCAAGGGCTGATAACTTGCTTTCAGTCAAGTGCCAGGCTTGGAACGTCCTTTTGCTGGGTTTGTTGGACAGATGCGCAGTTTATTGAATATGAGAGAAAGACAAGTGTACTTATCTTTGACATTTTGTGACAAGCTGCATAAGGTTGATCATCAGAAGAAAGTTGAGGGCTATGTTCTTGCCACTAAGTCTCTTGCAACAAGAAACAACTGACATAAGGGATTCACCAAGATATGCTCCCTCCTGGATTGCAGACTTGACATTCAGGAGCCAAGCTTCTGGGTTGTGCGTGTCAGAGCCCCAACGAGCGGATGAAAGAGTGGCAATGATAACATTGACATTCTTGCTTGTGTTAATCCAGGGTGTTACAACCAAGAGTTAGTTACTCTGGAACACAACTCAGACAAGCAAGAAGAGTAATGAGAGGGAGTGGTTACCCCTTAAGATGCGACCAAGTTAGTTGTGGGTAAACAACAAGAGAACTCACTGAGGAGTCTCCTGGATCTATTGAGGTTTATACACTACTACAGTGTTGTTTGTACATATATACTATACAGTTCATGGAGGCAGTGGCTGATGATGTCATGGGGCATAGCCCGTGTGACCAGCTCCAATGCATGAGAGACTTGTAGCTAAACATAAGAAAAAGGCAGCGCAGTGCAAGAAGGTGGAGTTTGAACAAAGATGGAAAGTGCCGCATGGCACAGTGTGTGAAAACTACAAAAGAAAGTCGAAGAGGAGAATAAAAATTAAAGGTCTGAAAATTGTGTATTGTAACACAGGGACTACTCCGTTATCGCCATGTACCTTTGCCACCCTGATGCTGCAGTGCAAAAGTAATACCACCCCTAGGACAAGGGCAATGGGGCTCTGAAGCTGGTGCCAGGTCTTGAGGTTGTTGAGTTTGTTGTCTTGTTGCTCTGGATTTCCCTCAATTGCTTTGTATGCTTGTATTGGATAGGTTGATTGATTCGGAACCAAAATCTTGGAGTGTATCAGTGCCAGTAGGAAGATGAGACTCGTCCAACCAGGGAAGCATGTTTGGTAGTGCTGATTGCTCTTTAGGCAGGTTATTAAATTAGTTGCAGTATTAGATGGTGCTGTTGGCTCTCCAAAGAGGAACCAGAAAGAAAAATGTAAACATACCTAGTGAGGTTTCAACTAACAATAACTTGGATTCAGATAGAACTGACAAATATATTATATCAGCTGAGGATAGCCAGATCAGAAATCAAACTTGAAAGCTCACCTGGCAATGCAGACAAATTTGATGGGTACAATGGAAACATTGATAAGTTGCTCTGAAAGTTGACCAGGCCTTCAGGTAAGTCTTGGATACCATTGAGTATTTCCACCAGATGCATGAGGTCATTCCTATGCATGCTCAGTGCATGTTGTGCAAGCATTCAAGCAACATCCTCTTTAGGAAGGTGTGCAAACGTCTGAGTAACCTCCACTTTAGGAAAATGTGCAATCACATGTCCCCTCCAAAAGCAGCAAGTGCTCACCTTGCTGAGCACTTCCTGCTTTTGGACACACAGCTATTTTATCTTGCCTTGCTCACCTATGCCTGCAGGTTCCAGCTCAAGGAAGTATGGCTTCCACAGGCCTCTGTCAGGGCCAGCTTGCTGCTAAGTATCAAAATTGTGTTGCTCACCCATCATTGAAATTTCTCCTAGGAATCTTGCCATGGCCACACTCAATGTAAGTAGATTGTTGGTTTGCACCATAGTTTTTAACTTTATACTCCAATAGCACCCAAATTCTTTGGAAGGTTTTCCCATCAGACGCCACAGTACCCCACCAACCAAACCCAAAGTACATCTATCCCATTATTTTATTGATTTCTCTCTCACTTATCCCGTTCCAGTTCAACACTTTCCTATTTAAAGGACCTAAGCAATATTATCACACCTTTATGGACCCCCTTATCAAGGCAGAGGCAGCTACCTTAAAGAGTTACTGCACCCTTGAAGACATGCTCCACATCCTATTTCCCCTATCTAAACTCTTCCCATCTACACTGGGTGCTCTTCCTCAAGAAAACCCCTTGTTCACTGCCTTCAAATGCCTTTGACATGAAGGGCTTTACTCATCTGAGTCAGGGAAGTGGACTGCTGCAAGTTCCTGCCCGGATTTGACTAAACCATGGAGCCCTGGCTCAGAAGAAGAGGTCGCAGATTTTCTGAACTATCTGGTTCACAAAGTTGATCAGCTTGTGGATTCTGGCACCTTCAAGAGGTCCAAATGGTGGACTTCTGCATATGCTGTCCAAGCAGTCAGTGATGCTGGTGGAAGGCGCCGCCTTGATCTCTTGTACTCATATCCTCCAGTGACATGTCTTATCCCTATAAGCTCCCTCCCGCAAGTATGAGAAATGCCAACAGTCTTGGCGAGCTCAAGGACCGAGAGGAAAATAAAGCCTCTTTTGACAAGGTTGTTATAGTAATTATAGCCCTATCAATGGAATTATAGCACTATACTGGTATTTTTATAGTCACTATAGCTCTATCAATGCAATTATAGCCTTTATAGCACAAAATTTAGCTAAAAACAAAACCATAATATTCATAATTTAAATTTACCATAATGTTTGATAAGCGTATTTACTATTAAAATTGTTGAGATAAATTTTTGCACAAACATCCAAAACATTACTGTGAGTCCAATTAAGTGGACAAGTATCTCTATTTCCCCCAAAGACTGGAATCAAATGACAAACCTGTCTAATTGCAGAAAAAGGTATAATATCACCAGGCAGGTAGCCAGAAGCATTAGGCCCAGGTTTGGTGACATAGTATATCATATAGTTGTTTTCAGCTGTTTGCCTTAGATAATTGAACCATTCAACATAAGCCAAATGATCTTTGGGCCAGTGGGCCAGTTAGAAGGGGCACTATGTGTGCCATATAAAGTTGTAGGTAACTTGAAGATCACTCTGAGACGTCCAACTCTTGTGCCTGGTACAAATTTTAAACAGATAGTAGATAGAGCTTTATATTGACAAAACCGGATAAACCCGGTCTCTCCAAAGCAGCCATTGTTCTCCATGGAGTCACCATTGTTCTCCTAGGAGCACAATTGTACTCCTAGGAGTCATTATACTGTAGCGAGTAGCACCTCCGATTATAAGTAGTAGGGGGTTTAGTATAGGAATACCTCAGTCGTTTCTATAGCCTCTCGGGCAGCGGCTGAGGTATGTTACATTAAATTTATTAGAGATCACCTTAAACTAACATCTATTATAGTTTCACTTAGGTAAATAATAAAGTCGTTTCTATAGCCTCTCGGGCAGCGGCTGAGTTTTACTTAGTTTTATTATATATTATGGAACTTGCCTGTCAAACCTGTTGATTCACAGTTATTGGAGTTCAATACTATAATAGTATCAAACCTAGGATGCTGTTCACTAACGCTTGAGGGTTTTGCCTTTACAGCATCCATTTGGTTATCAAACAAGTCCACATCTTTTCCAAGAGTCTCAAGGGAGAATTTGAATGAGTGGAAAACATCAAGGTTTTGAAATAGAAGAGGATAAGATCTTGTTTGTGCTCTGGAATGGGGCTACTGTAATTTTGAATTAAGGTAGATTTTGAGTACGTCCTCAAAGCCTGGGCAAGAGTGCTTCTCCATGATAGATATAAGTGATTGCTGGGATTTGCTTGGATTCTTTGCGATAATGATATGCTATCCTGAGACTTGGCACAAAGGAAAACATCTTCATCGTCTTTTTCCATGCTCGTTTTAAGATAACTCTCAAAAGTAAATATTTTTTCCCTACACAACAGCCAGGTGATCATTTGAGGAGCTTCATTCCTCTTATTGGAGGCCCTCCATCCATCTTTAGCAAAGTCTATATGAAATCTTTCAAACATCTCTGTATTATAGTTGTTGGTGGTGCCAAGCCATGTGATAAACCCCTGGTAGTGTAAGAGGGAAAAAAATTTAGGTATATTGAAATGGTCCCTGACTCCCAGACGGATAAGGATATCTTTGTGTTGGTGAAAAATATTGAGAGATTGAGCAATGTAGCCCAAGGTTGTATCACCATGTGTTGGGTATTGTGCTATCTGAATAAAGTCTAAAAGTGATTGATAGGTGATGGTAGTATGACATGGAAGTTTGCCAATGAGGCGTCCCAATAGTATCTTTGCCATATCTTTCTTTTCATTCCCCCCTATCCAATCAAGAGCAAAAAAGCCATTCTTGAAATAACAAACACCAAAGCAGGGATGAAGTGCTCTGATGCGTGCATCAAGTTCCTTAGGATCTAGTAGTTGCTGGCACCAATGCACCATGTGCTTCAAAATGCCCTGGTATAAGTGATGGAGGACATCAGAAGTGATTGCAATATGGATGTTACAGTGAGGAAACCCAGTTCAAGAGGGCTTGTAGACGGATCCAGATACTAGTTGCTCCTTGCACCTCTCTTGAAACTGATGGAATGAATGTGTATCTTCCTTAGCCTTGTTGATTACTGATTCTGTCCATTGATCAGTATGTGGCTCTCCTGCAGTAGAGGCTGAAAGCTCTTTTGGAGGTTGCTTGCATTTGGGGCAGGTACCATATCTTGAGCACCTCACCAGACACTGCTCTGGATAATTGCCCTCCCAACTTTTTATAATGGGTCCAAAATAATCTTCATCAACTCATGAAATAGTCTCTGCACTCTGGATGACTTTTTTCTTGAAGCATGCAGATACCCCCAGAGCATGATTGGAGCATGGACAAGAAGGGAATGCAGATAGGAGGTGGTTGAAAGAGTAGTGGGAGTACATTTTACTTTGACAGGACAAAGAAGGACATCTATCAAGTTTCAAGCAACAACCTTGAGCTCATCACTGTGATCGAGTATATTTTGGCTGCTGGCATTTGTATGAAGCCCTTTTTTTATTTTGAAAGATGGGCCATTTCCTGATGTATGAGGCCTTAAAGGCGTTGGGAGGTACACTATCTATGTTATGCTAGTTTTATTTTACTGATTCTCTCTGTCTGTCTCTTTTTTTTTCAGCATTTCACACACACTGAATGGCTGGACGGACCATGACATATGTGAGAGATGGTTCAGTGATGTGTTTATTCCTGAAGCCAGCTCTCACCGTGTCAATAACAAACCTAGTATACTGACCCTTGACGGCCATAGCTTGCATGAACAATCCGCCATCCAGAGAATTGCCTACAACAACCATATCATTATTTTTTGTTTCCCCTCAAATGTAACAATCAAGAGTTTGTTACTCTAGCGCACAACTTGGACAAGCAAAGAGAGAGAGAGAAAAAGGGATCACCCCCCAGGTTTCAATGGGTTTGTTGTACTAGACAACAAGAGGACTTACTGAGTCCTTCCCTATGTATTGCTCCCCTATGTATTGCTCCTGTATATATACTAAAATACATGAGGTACTGTACAGTTGTAAATAAAGTTTAAAGTCCGATGTTTAGCATGTGACCAGTCACATGATGAGTCTAGACATTGGTCAGGTGTTGTGTCACATGACTTGGTCATGTGACTATGAAAAGTCAAAAATGTAAAGTAAAGTAAATGGTCACATGACTGGTCATGTGACTTAGAAAAATAAAAGTAAAAGTGCGAAAAGTGAAGCGTAAGTAGGTAATGGTACATCAATTGTAACATCAAAAACCATGCATAAATTGCAGCCTCTTGACGTCATTGTCTTCTCGCCAGTTCAAAGGAAGTGGGCCACTCACACCAGCCAACTTGCTCTTGATTGGATCCTTATTGACAGGTATAACATTGTACATGAGTACATGAGAGTTCACGCTGTTGTCATGCCAGAACTCATCCGCACGGCCTTCAAACAGATGGGGACTTAACCTTTCAATCCAAATATATTTACTGATGACAACTTTGCCCTGAGCCATGCCACCTCATCCTCTGCACACTTCCCCCGGTCCTACCCTGATGTCGCCATGTCAAGCAACAAATCCGATCATCCCTCCAACAGCAGCAGCAAGATGGATGAGTCAGTGGGTAGAATTAGTGAGGTTGAGGATGAGATTGATGATGAGGACAAGGACAAGGAGGGAGATGAAGAAAAGAAGGATGAGCATGAAGAAGACAATGGAGAAGATGAAAAAGAGGATGGTATCCTCTTCCCCTCTCCCTCCCTCAGCTCCTCCACTCAATCTGACCTCTCTCCCGAGCTGATTAATTGGCCCTGCCTGTCAGAATCACCTGCATGCTCTCTAGAGCCATCTCCTTGTCCATCTCCAGGTTGCTCCCTTTCCCCACTTCCTGTTACGATAACACATTTTTGGACCTTTAATTTTCATTCTCCTCTTTAACCTTTTTACTGTAGTTTTCACACTCCGTGCCATGCGGCACTTTCCCTTTTGTTCAAACTCCTCTTCCTCGCGCTGCCTTGCCCTTCTTCTTATTTTAGCTACAAGTCTCTCACGCAGTGAAGCTGGTCACACAGGCTGCGCCCTCTGACATCATCAGCCACTGCTTTATCAACTGCATAGTACAACATGCACAAACAACCTGTAGTAGTATATATACCTCAATAGATCCAGGAGACTCCTGAGCGAGTCCTCCTGTTGTATCCTCACAACTAAGTTGTTGAAGTCTAAAGGGTAACCACTCCCTCATCATCCTCTCTATAGTTGGTTCTAGTTGTGCGCCAGAGTAACTAACTCTTGGTTGTTACACTTCCCTCTCACTTTCACGCATTGCTGGCCTCAATCTCCCAGGAAATGTTGGTTAAATCTACCGACCTGGTCCAGAGACAGCTCCATCTCCATCTCCCTCTCAACTTGGGCAGGACCTCCTCCCCTCTCTAACGCCTTCTGAGGTCATTCATCCACACACACTCTCTCTGTCCGGCAGAGGACATCAGCACCAATATTATATGCACTCCTCTTCCTCCTCTCCGCGGTCATTGAACGTGGTGCTTACAGATTGGCAATGGTTAGCATTGAACAAGATCAAAGAAGAACTCACCCAAAGCTTCTCACTGAGCTTGTTTCAACCCAAACACAGCTCAATCTCATTGAGCAAGACTGAGCACATCTTCTGGCATGTAGCCAGAAGCTAGAGGAGGATTTAGGTTGGGTGCAGGCAGAAAGGACACCGCAAATGCCCATTGCACTATCATCTCCCGTGTGGTTGAGGAAACACGCAAGCAGCTGGGAGTGGTGACTAAGAAGAAGCAGCATGGGACAGGAAAAATCAAGGCTTAGTTTGTTACTCACCCAGCTTTAAAGGCACATTTCAATCAGGAAGAGGCTGAGCGCAGCAAGAAGGTGAAGGGGAGGGCAGCGAAGGATGCACAGAAGGCCATGGATGAGGCTGTCCATGCCGTGCGAGAAGCCCCTGTTGTCCTACAAATGCAAGGACGACCTCATCACAGCCGCTGGGGCGCTGCAACTGTCAACCACTGGGACGGTCAAGGAACTCATCACTAGGATCAAGATATACCTGGATGAGCACGGGGAGCTGGCCGGCCAGCCTCACTTTGCTGGATTATTTGGCCATCACACCCCAAACATGTCTTCCTCTGCAAGTGGGTCTGGCTCTTCTTCAGCCATCTCTTTGCCTTCACCCCACTCTCCCGCTTTCCCCTCTGCACAATCTGCAGTGTACTTGCATGCATACACCCCCCAGCTCCTCCCCCAAATTACTCAGCAATACCCCTCCTCATACATGTCCTCCCATGCACCCCCCTTGTGTTCTTACACTCTGCCAGGTCCAAATGACAAGCCTGGTACCATTTATTGCAGTCCAGATGGTCCTTATGGCTATATGTGGTTATAAATTTGTATATAGTTCTCCATCAATACATGTGCTTTTCTCAAATTTTGTGTGATAAAAAGTTGATATATTCTACTAAAATTTTCTACTACAATTCCTACTATTATTGAGCTGGGGACTTGGGCGAATTTTCTGCTCTTGATAGTGCCGAGCGGGATTTTAACATGGCTTCTGTGCCCTCTCTGTGACAGTATGTTACTTTTGTGATGTCCAAATAGCCCCCCCATCTGAACTGACAGTTGACAATAGTATAGTAATTCTAACGGCTGCTGGATCCGGATTTGGTCGTTACAAAACACCACGGGCAGGACCGGATAATGGACACGCTGGCTAGAGCACAATTTGCACAAAAACGCTAAGAGCCCGTTCGGGTGTGCATCTTTTCGCAAGCTTGGGCGTCTTACAGCTCCAGAATTGAGTCGGAGTTCAATTACAAAGAGTCGGAAAGATCACGTCCCCAATTAGGAAGTAACACTTCATTGCTGAGTCAATGAACACTAGAAGTGAAGATTGTGAAGATTGCTGGGCCCGTTTAAAACGACATCTTGTTGTACTCCAACTAATCTTACAGTGCCAACAACAGGATGACGATGACATTGTTTTTGCTGCCAATGTAGCCGGCCTTGCAGTAGTGTCTTACAGCGAGGGCCTCTACAATAAACACCCTTATCATACCTCCTCACTGACCGGACAACAATGGGTGAAGGAGCTCATAGATGGACATCTGGAGTGTATCCGTTGTGCATTGGGGGTACATGTAGAAGTATTCGAGTTTCTCGTTCGGATCCTACAAAAAGCGGGGTATACAGACTCCAAGCACGTTAACCTCGAGGAGAAGCTTGCCATCTTTCTATATGGATGCGTTACCGGCCTCACAATTTGACATCTCGGTGAGCGTTTCCAACGCTCCAATGATACAATATCTAGGTAATTATCTCCCTATATTTTATCTATATCTACTAACATCTATTATAGATATTTTCGCAAAATGTTAACCGTCTTCTCGTCAAAGCCCATTTACACAACATTCATCCATCTACCATTAGCGACAGATCCAACACCACCAGAGATTGCCACCAACCCCAAATTCTTTCCCTACTTTGCAGATGCACTCGGTGCAATTGACGGAACCCACATACCATGCAGTCCCCCCGCTTCTGAACACCACATGTCTCGAAACCGCAAAGGCAGTGTGTCCCAGAACGTTCTGGCATGCTGTTCGTTTGACTTACAGTTTCTCTACGTTCTGACTAGCTGGGAGGGCTCTGCAGCCGATGCATCCATTTATCTAGATGCTCAAAAGCACAATTTGTGTGTTCCCAAGGGAGAATTTTACCTTGCCAACGCTGGTTTTGCATTGTGTGACCAGCTGATGGTTCCCTACCGTGGTGAACGGTATCATCTGGCCAAGTGGGGTCGTGCAGCTGTCAGGCTGAAGAATGAGCGGGAACTATTCAATTTGCACCGTGCTCAGGCCCGGAACTGTGTCAAACAGATCTTTGGGGTCTTGAAATGTTGATTCAGGATCCTCTCATGTGCGCCAGAATACAACATCTCACTACAGGCTCGTATTCCATCAGCCCTTTGTGCTATCCACAATGCCATTTGTATCTACAATCCGAACAAGCTCCATGATCTCCTGTCGCCCAACAAGAGTGCGCCTATCAATAACTTTGGGACATTATGAAAAGTAGCTCCCAACAAAGCTGCAAGATTTTGCGGCAACTCCATTTGTGCAGAGGTGGTGAGACAAATGTGGGTTGATTACCATCATGAGTTGAGGGCGAGAGGGGATCCAGCCGTCTTGGATGAGGAGGCCTTAGCCATGTTAGCAGCTGACAATGAGTAGCGTGGAAGATCAGGTAGTACCCTGATGTCTATTCTCTGACAAATTACACGAGCAAGTTCTGATGCAATACTTTATTGAGTGGGGCTAGCAAAAGATACAGATACAACAACAGCAAAAGAGATACAACGTAAGAAAAGGGCTACATAAAATAAGAGAGAGAAACTTCAGTTGTTAGCAGTATAGCTTGATGGGTATGCAGCAAGCTGGGCCAACCTCTTATCCACCCATATTTTAAGCAGGTTTTCCCACCCGGTCTCAACAATAGCCAGGTAATTGTTCATCATGCGCTCATTATCACAAAGAAGATTAATCAGCGCAACTTGCTGTTCGTTGCCAAGATGACCCTCCAGCTCTCCAATGGTCTTGATGGCAATATTCCTGGCCGACGGGGCAGGGAGTGCGCCCGCGGAGGTTCCAATGCTTTCCAAACTGGCGAGGAGACGATTGTTGAAAGTATCCTGGGAAGTTGCTGATCTTTGACTCTGTTGATAACGATTGCGCTGGATGAGCGCACAGTCTTGCAGGAGAGTGCCGATGACAAAGACATCGCTAAGACAGAAGCAGGAGCCGAGTGTCCTGATAGATACTTCAGTTTTGTAGTCGGAGTAATGAGGGTGCTGGATTTGCAATCACTATAGGAAGCAGATTTGATGGGGCTCATGGTAATGGTGCTGGAAGGTGGTCTCATAGGTGAAGACGAAGGAAGGCTGGTGGGTGCAAACATGGTGGAGGCTAGAGGTGTAGCGGCTCAGTCTTCATCACCTTCAACTATTTTGTCTTCATTTGTTTCATCCTCATTGACGTCCTCATTAACATTGACTTCCATAACATCCTCTCCGCCCACTGCGTCCTCTGCAAGATCAAGCACATCGCCAGCCTTGCCAGTGGCTGTGACAGCTTCTGAAGCGCAGAAAACATGCAACCCTTAAGAACTCCAGTCATGATCATCAGCATGTCATCATACCAGGGCCAGCCTTCATTCATGAAGTGCTTGTAGGCTTTTTTCTTGTTGGGACAACTCTGTAAAAAGGTTTAATATTCTAGGAGGAAAACAGGGGGGCAGCAACACCCACCTCAATTATAGCGGTCCACACAGAGCGGTTTGCATCATTCATGTTGTGGGCCTTATCAGGGTTATACCCAAGGCCTGAACAATGTTGCACGAGGCAATTGACATCATGAAACTCAGACTTAAGCTAATAGAAGGTGAGCAAGTAATCCATTAGCTGTGTATGGCAGTCAACTTACGGCATTCCATTTGGACCTAACAGCCTCGACATCTTTTGCCCTCCCCCTCGTCTTTGTCTTCTCCAATTCTAATACGGAAAAACGGGGGCTTGAAAGAGCCCTTTTCACCCTCTCCCCTCTTGGCAAGCGCCAATTTTACCAACACCTTTTTATCCTTGTTCATCCATACACATTTGGGTCGAGGAATGGCTCTTTGTTTCCCTGGAACTGCAGGTTTTTTTGATGTTGCGATCTTGTCTGATGGTGGCATTTTCTTGAGGCGGCTATGGAGGGGGTATGGAGAGGATTTCTTCGACCTGGTGGAAGTAGCGCAAACGATGTTTAACCGCAGGAAGTTGCAGTTATAGAAAGATATTGATTGATAATGATCTCTAGCAGCCCTTGACCACTATGGCCTACGACGACGTCCCTGGGCCAGGACCATCATGGTTCATGTCACACATAGTCACAAATTTTGGCAGCTCAGCATGTATTGGCGCTTCAAAAAATCTCAAGACCTAGAGGTACTTTTGCAAAAAGACGCGCACCCGAACAGGCTCTAAAATTCCAGCCACTGAGGTGACCTGGATGGATTACTTCAGATATTATTAAACAATTTGTGATAGCTCAACTAACTTGTATACTATTTTTTTGAGTAATAGCTGAGATGATTTGGTTCTAATTTGGGGCTTCATGTGACTGGTTCTTTAAAAAATATGTTTGTACTGCTGATTTTTATCAAAAACCAGTCATGTGAAGCCCTGAGCCAGGACCAAATCATCTCAGCCATTACTCAAAAAATAGTAAACAAATTAGTTGAGCTGTCACAAATTGTATTTTAATAATATCTGAAGTAATCCAGCCAGGTCACCTCAGTGGCTGGAATTTTAGTGTTTTTGTGTGAATTGTGCTCCAGCAAGCTTGTCCATTGTCCGATCCTGCCCGTGGTGAAAATTCTCAAAAATATTTAACTTCAGCTCGGATAGTTCCGAGATCAAGTGTCCTATGTAAAACTTGAGGGAGTTTTCCTGTGACGTGGTGTAGCAATGTCTAGAATCCCTGTTCCCTCGCAAGCCCCTTCACCTCATAAATCCGCAGCCAATTTCTCGACGATGGATCGATCTTCTTCGCCTCTTTCTCAACAGATCCGTCACCCACAATTAACCTCGACGTCCATGTCTAGTCTGTCTGTGTCAGAGACCAGGAGAAAGCAAACCAAAAGGGATGAGGTCAGTCTTGTCCTGACTAGCCCAGTTATCCGTTCGATTTTTTTGGTTTTTGTATTGGGAAAGTTTCCGTGAAGTTTATTACTCATATTTTTCTACAGGCAATTCGCAAAAGGATCGAGTCAGAACTATCGCGGAAGCGAGTTATACCCCTGACTCAGAATATCAGTGGACGAAGCAAGCGTTCTAGCAGGTCAGCGGTTACCAGAGGTACCGTCGCAGCGTTAAGGCCAAGTCTGGCTTTAACCGTCCCGGAGAATATCACGGTCGCAGAAGCCAGTCAGCTCTGTGCCGCCAAACGAACTGATTGCGTTCTTGTCGTGGATGAGGAAGAGGGCTTGAGCGGCATTTTCACGGCTAAAGACTTAGCATACCGGGTTTGTCATGTGTATATCCAGAATTACCGTACCAAGCTCATAGCTGTTTGAGCCAGGTAACAGCAGATGGCCTCGACCCTCACACTACTCCAGTGAGCCAGATCATGACGCGAAGTCCCATGGTGACCCGTGATACGACTAGTGCTACTGATGCTCTTCAATTGATGGTGCAGCGGCACTTTAGGCACTTGGTGTGTCAGAAACTTATAATTTAGCAACGATGAATTAATATAATTTCCAGCCGGTCTGCAATGAGGAGGGTAATGTTGTTGGCCTACTTGATATCACCAAGGTATTTCATGAGGCATTGAACAAAGTGGAGCGTAGCTCGTCTGCTTCCGAAAAGCTTTACAATGCTCTTGCAGGTGTGCAGTCGGAGCTAGGACCGGGAATGACGTCAAACCCTCAGGCTGCAGCAATGCTCGCCTATGTAGACGCTCTAAGGGAGAAAACGGCTCTGCCTGATCTCACTACGGTCATTGATCGCTGTGTACAGCCCGCGACCGTGACGCCGAAGACGACGGTGCGTGAAGTTGCCAGGCTCATGAGAGAGAGGCGAACAACCGCAGTTTGCGTCATGGAATTTCCGGCCGCAGTCTCAGATATGTTTCCCAAAGTTGTGGGCATCTTCACCAGTAAGGACATCGTGTTAAGGGTTATAGCTGCTGGGCTAGATGCGGGCATGTGCAGTGTCATCAGAGTAATGACCCCGCACCCTGATACGGCACAACCCAGCATGAGCGTTCATGATGCGCTGAAAAGAATGCATAGTGAGTGGAAAATACTGTACTACTGCAGCATGCTAAAAAGTCTCAGACGGGCACTATCTCAACCTGCCAGTGGTTGATTTTGACGGTCAATTGATGGCTATCGTTGACGTCTTAAAGCTCACATACGCAACGCTAGAGCAGGTCAGTGGTTTACGACAGGACAGAAATCTTGAATAATCTCAACTATGATGGATTTCCAGATGAATGCCATGACCGCAGACACTGCGGAGGGAACCTGGGATAGTCAAGGCGGGCCTATGTGGGGCAAATTCTTCGAGTCCTTAGGTGGCCAAGATGACAATGATTCTGTAGTATCTGGTTCTCATATCCCAGAAGAGGGTGTCATTGGGCAGCAACAACAGTCTTCATATTCCGAAGTGCATCCTAGCGATTCTGCTTCTTTCATAGGCGATGAGTTGACATCTGCGCTGGAGCCATTACCTCATGAAAAAGGTAGAATTGCCGCCCCTTCGATCACTGGTACATTAAACACTCTGGCCGATGATGGAACTTACGTCTTCAAGCTCCGTATGCCTAGTGGACGTACACACCGTTTTCAAGCCCGCCATGATAGTATGGAAACTCTTGAGGAGATAGTGCGAGGGAAGTTAGCAGCAGATCCGTTCTTCACCGAGTACACCGGTATGGTGGAGACGCGACCCGATCCGTGCGATTTCGATCTATCGTACACAGATGCGGATGGTGATGCGGTGTTAATCACCAGCGACAGCGATATTGTAGATGCGGTAAAGAACGCTCGTTCTGCAGGATCGGATCGTGTTGTCCTATTTGCTCAAGGCGGCAGGAGTTGGGTGAGTGCTGGATGGGAAGGAGAAGTGAGTACTACTCCATCAAAGGAGGTGGCCATTGGCAAGGAAGCGGAAATAGTGAAGGGGGCGGCATTAGTGAAGGAGGCAGCATTATCCCAGATATCTCCCGAAGAAGATACCATAATGGGTATGCCAAAAGATCTTATCTTGCCAACTAGTGTTGGTGCATTGGCTGTGGTGATCTTGGCTATCTTCACATTTTCGCGCATAGCTAAATGACGCATGACTAGATGGACATCGCTCGCTATCTTTTAAGTGGTGTAGAGATTTCTTTGATGGGATCTTTGAGCTCAGGCTGAGATCGATTTTCGTAGGGTATATGCCCCTTCACCTTAGATACAACATACACTTCTTTTGATTGCCTCGAGTTCCTAGTTTGGAGGTTGAGGCTAGACACTCAAGTCCAACAGAAAAGCATTTTTATTGCAGTACTAGACGTGAAAAATATCTCTATAAGAGACAAAACCATTAGCCTCGTTCAAGGTGCGTTTCGTAAGGAAATTGAGGAGAGAGAAAAGGTGTCGTCAGCGTGGAAATAGCATGACGAAGCGACGGCAGTAAACTTACGCTTGAGCCGAGACTGTAAATCAATAATAAACCTATATGAAAAACGTCAGGAAACCTAGAGGTTGAGATTGAATCAAGCATGCTTCAAGTTATATAAAAGCTTGGAAAGCATACCTTGACACCTCATCCACCATGCCTCGTCATCAACCCACTGCTCGCCAGCAGCGTCTCGACGACCTCGACGACTCGCTCATCTACCTCCTTCAACGCCTCATCCGCCGCACTTCTCCGGTGGCGCAGATCGAAAGCCAAAATTCAGAGGGCGACGCATCACGTGACGCGTCACTTGCGAGTTACTCCGTTATCTGTCGTACACTCAAAAGCATGGGTAGAGCACCAGGTTTGTGCGGAGTGGAGAAATGGATGTTTAGCAGTTGATGGCACCAATTTTCGCCTCTTCCAAAAGCCAAGCCACTATGGGGAGACATTCTTTGACAGGAAATCAAACTACTCTCTGAATTCTCAGGTAAGTAACATTATTTTGGAATTATATGAATAACCTGATGGTTTCCCTAGATTACCATCCTCCCTCATAATCTCAAGATTGTGGACTATGGATTAGGGCACACGGGCAGCACTCATGACTCTTCTGCCTTCCAAGATACTCTGATTTCGCATGACCATGAAGCCTTTCTGGAAAAAGATGAATGGATGTGGGCCGACTCTGCATATCCTATTACACCATGGTGTGTTGCACCATTCAAACAGGCACCAGGTCGTGGCCTCACTGTGAGGCAGTCTCAGTTCAACTACCAATTGTCACGCATCCGTATACGATGTGAACATGCCATTGGACTTCTCAAGATTCGATTCCAGTCTCTCAAAGAAGTACGCATCCAGATTGACTCAGTAAACAAGATAGACTCTGTTATTATCTGGATCTGTTGTTGTATCATTCTGCACAACCTCATTATTGAACATGAAGGCAAGGAATCAGGGGTTATCATTCCTAGAGAATGGCAACAGGCAATTGAAGGAGAAGTGGATGATAATGGGGAGGAAATTGATGCAGATGTGGATGATTCAAATCAACAAGGTCCTTTACCCCAGAATCCAACTCAGACACTTCGTGAAAGGCTTTTTGATTCCCTCTTTAGTAGCGACTTATACTGATCTTATTTCATGTATGATACACTCAGACAATATTACAGTATGCATTGTTCATCAGTACATAACAACGTAACAGCATAACAACATATTCAAACGGAAGTAACATCACAACAGCGTCTAAAACGGCAGAAAAAAAACATAAAAGTGGAAAAAATGAAACGGCAGAAAAAATGAAACGGCAGGGAAAAAATCATATACAGGCATACGAAAACACAGACAGCAGATAGTACATGAATCAAGGCAGTAATAAACAACAAAAACAAAATGTACTTCAGATCACAGTACGATCAGGCCCCATCCTCGTCCTCCACAATTCTATCGCCGTCTTCATTCCTGTCACCGTATAAATCGCCGTCTTCGTCAAACGAGTTGTGGGGGGGCATTGTGGGATTGGCGAAGTCAGTAGATTGGAGGACAGATGTCATGGTAGACATGAAGTCTTCACCTCCTTCGCTTAGCATTTGGGATAGGCCGACAGTGAAGTCGGATGTTCCGAGTGCGTTGGAGGTGGGACCTGGAGCGGCGATGGAGCTGGAGCTGGAGCTGGCGTTGAAAGAAGGGCCAGGTGCGGACAAATGGGGGGGGGGGAGGTCCTCCAGTCAGGTTCATCCGGTAGCGGAGTTCCATTGTGCGTTGTTCGTGAACCGCCCGCTTCAATCGCATCTCCTCGACCCTCTCATTACTCCCTTGGGTGTTTTGTTTGTGCACCATCTGCAGCTTCGCTAGCTCAAAGAGCGCGGCTGTAAGTTCGGCCCTGGCATCCTTGGCCGTCTTCAAATTCTTGCCCTGTGCAAGTGTTGTTGAATGTGCGTATTTCGCCCGCTTCAGGTCAGCTTCAGCCTTGATTCCATCACTCTCTGCCTGGAGAACAGGCTCCATCAACGCCTTCAAGCGGTCGCCCTCGGATTCGCACTTCTTGCCCTTCGTTTGCTTCGGCTCAGCCTTCTTCTTGGGCTCCGGATCCTCTAATTTGATGACGTTGCGGCTACATTTTGCCCGGGTTGAAGTGGGAGTAGTGGGACGAGGCAGGTGAATGGGTCGAGCAGGTGAACGTCTGCAAGCAGGCGACTGCCCCCGACCCAAAGAACCCCCCCCACTGAGCTGGCGCTGATGGCCAGTAACCGAGATGGGGGGACGGGTGATAGAAGCGGGAGGAATGGGGGCGACAGACCGAACCGCAGGGACGGAGGTGTCCGAGCCGTTACTGTTGATGGACAGGCTGGATAGTGAGGGGTCAGATGGGTTGAAGTCCAGGGAAGCCATATACGGGGTTGTGCTGGTGATTTGCCCGTAGTGCTGCTGGGGCTGCAGAGTAGCGGAGGGCAAGCTGGAGAGCGAAGGATTCGACCTAGATAGAATTTGCTGGGAGGGATTGCCGTATTGCGCATACACAGCCGCCTGCTGCTGCTGATACGGCGGCTGCTGCTGGTGCTGCTGCTGGTGCTGGTGCTGGTACGGCTGGTACAGCTGCTGCTGCTGCTGCTGCTGAGATGGCTGGTACGGCGCCTGGTGCTGAGACGGCTGGTACAGTGCCTGGTGCTGGGATGGCTGCTGCTGATAGCTGCTGCCGTCACCGTCATCCTGCTCGTGTTCGACCAAATCCCACCCGCCGCCCTGGAAATGTGAGTTCATGCCGCGCTGGAAAGCTTCATCATCACCCCTCATTGGAAACAGAACCGCCATAGCCTTCCCTGAGAGATCCTGACCATGAGCTGATGTTGCCGGCTTTGCATTATACTTCGGCAATGCACGCCAGAAGGTGCTGAGGCGGTCCCACCACGGGAATTTAGCACGAACTCGTTCTTTTAAAATCAGCAATCAAATCTAAGTATAAAATAAAATAAAATAAAAAACTCACCGATCGGACTGTTGTACAGGGCATCGGACGGATCCCCCGCCACAAGGCCACTACCAGTGGATCCTAAATCCCGCAGATGGCTTCGATATGCCTTGCTGAGGCTGATAGCGTTGATGTAGTGTCAATAAATAATAAATAAACAGTGAAATAAATACCTGGCAAGACGATGCTGCACTGACTCACCAAATCGTTGGCGATGGTGATCAACCGCGATACGCAAGTTCACATTGGAATCATTCTTGAAAACGTGTCTAGCGATCCTTCTATGTAAAGAGGCCTTTGTATGTTTAGTAGATCTTGAGGCATCCCGATTCTCTTCTTTGGCGACTGCAGTAGAATCTGAAAATAAAACATATCTACGTCTAGGATGTTTCTCAAGCCAGTCTACCAATCGATCTGTTCTTGGATTGGACCAATTAATCTGCGCAGGTTTGGGAATATTACCTTGGTTTTGAAGAGTCCGTAGTGATGCCGTTTGACAACTTGTATCGGTCGGAATGTAACGGCTCGGACTGTCAGCTGAGGGATTGTCAGAGGAGGTATCGTCGTCAGATTTTTGTGAGGCCATTGGACTACGCGTAGCTTAGGAGGGGGGGGGGGAGGCAGGCCAAGGCATGGCAAACGGCCGTGTTTGCAGGAAGTAAGGTTGAAGCACCGAATTCTATCGGAAGACTTGCCGTGTAGTTTATTTCTCGATTTATCTTGGATTTCTCAAAAAATATTATTTGGTGATTTCCAGGTATGAGCCTTCGGTTACTTGCCCCGCGTTCCATAACTGATGACATGGCCAGCTTAAAGCCAGAGTTCCCGAACTTCAGGCTTAAGCGGTCCCTTACAAAACGCATCTTGAACGAGGCTATTAACCAAAGAGGAAGAAGATTTTCCTGGTCCCAAAGGAGGCCAGGTGTGTCAATCATAAATTGACCGCAAAATGTATTGATTGGTCAATGTGAAATCTGAGCTTAGTAATTTTTCCCCCCTCTGCCACATGTATCAGCAATGCTTCGCACATCTTATCACATGAAATATATAAATCTTCCAATTCAATTCAATTCTTCCAATCCTGTTGCATATGGTGTGACAGAGTACAATTCAGATAACCATAGAGTTTCTGTATAAGTTCCCATCACCCATACGTGTGTTTGGCAGTAATTTGCTGGTATGGAAAGACTGCATTAGCTAGAATCATATTTAACAACCATGTATTGTGATCTGAAAATGAAAATACATGTACCCGGTCCAAAGGCATGATGTGGATGAGTTCTTGAGATCCGATTTGCAAAAGTTCAATTACACGACATCTTGCTGGCTTTGCATAGCAAATAAACTCTGCCACAAAACTGAACTCCCTATAGGGATCATTAGTGGGCTCAATTGGAGAGTATTTAGCAATAATGGCATAGAATTTTGTCTCGTCCTGTTGTCCTGATTGCAGGAAAGAGTGGTTGAGTTTGAAAATATTCTGAAGAGTCCCAGCTTTCTCTGGCTGGGAGACATCTCCAAGTGATCCCTTGCAGAAGATAATGCGGCGCTCAAGAGCTCTCGGTTGCATAGCGTAGCCCTTGCACAGATATTTTGGGTAAGGTCAGTGTATATTGTGTTACATTGTGTTCAGTGGAACCTGAAAAAAACAAAAAGTCAGTAAGCAATTGGTATTCTTCATCTCCTAGAAAACAGGGTGCCAATAGAGTGCTAGTATTGTACCCAGGCTGATCTGGATCAAGCAGATAAGCCACGTGTATACGGCACACGTCTTCCTTCCATGGCCTCCAAAGTTTGTACAGCTCCTGAAATTAACTTGCGCACTTCCAGGTCATCAGTGAGTATTGCACGGATATTGGCAGATTGACACATGGTCTCCATAAACATCTTTTCCATTTCACCTAGAATACATTATCAATATATGTTCATATAAGATTGCTACATAAAGTAGCTCCATAGAACATACCAAAAATTCTGTTTGTGTTCAGACGCTGTAGAACATGAATGTAACACTGATAGAATGGTGTGTTGTGTGAATGGACAGGCCCAAAACAATCCATGATGTCACCAATATGAAGGGCTGTGTGATAAACGGGCTTAAGCTGTTGGTCGGGATAAAGTGTTTTGATACCTTCAACATAGCAGAAGATGCTTGTATCTGTTTAGGTGACATCACTCACATATTGGCAATCCACACTGCAGTAACTAAATCCATCATGTTCTCCAGTAACATCTGTTGTTGGCCAGTGTCATTACATCATAAACGGATTAGTGTGATGAGGAGATGGATAGTGCAAATAATGTGCCAGTTGTCAGCTTTGAGCTTGCCTTGCAGGGTGGTGCCCCAGTCGGTAAGAGCAGGACTGACCAGGAGGGTAGTACCGTATTTTCCATATCTTCCCCATACAGCAAACATGACATCCTTCCCAAGCACATGGCGGTAAGGCATAGACTGTACATAAGAACCCATTTGGCTCTTGTTATCACTTGATGTGTTTATCTGTGCATAAATCATCAGAGACATATCACATTGTTATTCACTATAACACATACCCAAAGCTCAATAGCACAAAACAAATCCCCCTTGGAGGTGATCTGGTCATTGCGAGGTATTCTAGCAATCACATCCGAAAGATAAATCAGAGTTTTCGTGGTTGCCTGCCTGTAAACCATTTTGCATCTGAGTTGACTATTTCCAGTAAAATAATGAATGCATCTTGCTGCAGCTGGTGGAAGACAGTGTTTCACGCGGTTATCATTGTGAGGTTGCAAAGGAAGAACTCCTACATCTTCAAGGGGGTTGATGCCCATTGTTGCAACAAAATGACTGCTTGCATTATTGTCAGTCTCCATGTAATCCTCAAGGACAACTTTTGTGTTGGTAGACACATCATCCAAATTGCTAAAGGCGCCCTCAAACACTTCATCAGCTGATTCAGCAGACTACGATTCCACCGCGCTGGTTTTAGATGTTTTGGAAGACACACTATACATAGTTCTGACCCTCTCAAGAGAATTTGTACCTTCAGATACAAAATTGCCATGACATCACTAATTATAAAGGAAGATTAGATCAGGGAATCTAAATGTTTGACTAACTCACCCAAACACAGATATGATTTGCCAATATCCACTTAGTCCCAGAAACAACTTTGTGTCCTGAGCCGAGTATCAAATGCTCAACACAGATTGTATACAAAACCTTCTGTGGCGCATCTAGCAGGGTTTCCAGCAAAGTGGGCCGGTTTTTGAGTATAATGGTGAGGCAGCTCCTAAGAGTCTTCTTATTTGTGTTGCTGGTAACTCGTTTCTCTCTGGCCTGTATAGTAACTTGGACTGATCTGTCTCCATTATTACGAGTAGTGTCGGTCTGAAACAAATTACGGCAATGATTCTGTAGGAGACTCAGGTCCAATGCATGCAATGATACAATAACTACCCACAGAGCTGGGTTCCAATAAGGGAGGTCTAGAAGAGCCGTCCATTGTACACTGTATGTTGTGAGTAATTGTTTTTGCTCTTCCTTGCTTTGTGCATCCCTCCATCTTTCAGTACAGCAACGATGGTGATCTTGATCTTTTGCAGGCCATTCTTCCCTATCCAATACCTCAATATTGTCATAATTGAGATCACAGATGGAGCAAAAGTAGTGAGCCGTGGCAGAACCAGCTACTCCCCACTCTCTGCCTATCTTGTTGTGCACCAAAGTATACAAATTTTGGTTGTTACATAGTGAGTGATTTTTGTGGGGCTGTTATATGAGTGGTAGGGATACAGAGAGAAACATTGGGGGCATAACAGGTAGGTGTGCATGGTGGGACAGAGATGGAGTTAAACTGACAGGGAAATTGGATCCCTCAGGATGAGGTTGAGGATCTTGTTGGATACATTGTGTATTCAAAGTAGGTCTTGCAAACCCGTGAGCTGGACGCATAAAGCTCATCACAGCACGGAAAATATATTTTCTAATATAGCGGATAAGAGAGACGCAGCCTTGACGGTATGATTCTGAGATCCTTGGCAAGGAAAGTAGATTTCTTTAGAAATGAGTGAGCAGGCTACAGGGAATAAAATAAATGAATACACACCAATGTTGACAACAATAGCATGGAGGTGGTCATTGCAAATCCGCTGGTGAAACCACTGAATCTACTTCTCCTTACTGAACCAATACAGCTCCACATCAAGGTGATCCATCAGCGCTTTCACATTTTCTGAGTGGTTAAAATCTTGAATTGTTTTCCAGATTTTGCACAAGTGTTTTGCAATTGAGAGAAAAGCTGTGCTAGCTCGCTCATTAGGATGTAACACTTACTGGCCGTTATTTGGATGGACTATATCTGATGGTGACTGATGTTGATACACTCTGGATTGAGCTGGATTTTTCAAGAAAATGAGAGGGAACATTGAATCAATCACCAGGAGCATAGAATATAGTATGACCTCCAATGTAAAGAGTTGAAGATATGACCCTTGTGTTGATTGATCATGCAGTACAATGCCATGGCGTGCACATTGGCTATTATTTTGGGTGTGTGTTGGAGTGGTGACAACCTAACTGAGCCTGAAAGTGAGTGCCGACTGCCTGAGCGACTGCACCAAGACATGGGAAAGCCAGGAAGTCTTGAGACTGTGTATATGTATAGTCTGGGGTGTACATGAGGTTGCAATGCATCCTTGTGCCGCTCGTGGCAGGGTCCTGGCCACTTCTGCTTGGGGTCCCTCTCCTCCTACTACATGTCCCCCCCAAAAAAAAAAAGACCCTGCCTGAGCTGTCAACCTCTCTATGCCTATTGTAATATGTGATATGTAATGTAAATTATGTATCACGTCTCTTTGGTTTGTGCTCTGTCTAATTGTGTGATTTTGAGCTTGAGTTCAGCTAAAGCTGATCCGGTTCTTGGTATGAATTGGTGCAAGAGCCTGGCATGGACCTCCCCTGGCATTGGGAACCCTTCTAACATTTCTAGCTTGTACGAGTTGGATCTCTTGCTGAGGATCCTACATGGTGTGGACCATTTTGGTGTGAGTTTCCTCAAACTTGTTAGTGTACACCTGTGCTAGTTGTCCTGGTTGAAAGACAACTTCCCTAGGTGCTGACACGAGGACTTTACAGTCAAACACTTCTTTGTGTTTGATGGTGTGTTCAACATTATGCGCTAACCCGTTGAGTCACTGTTGCTTGACATAGGCCATCTGTAAAGATATTTGATTGTCAGTGAGGGGTTCTGTTGTAGAGATGGACAACAGGGTTCTGGGGGTGTTTACCACCAATCCTAGAAGCAATTCTTTTGGTGAGAACTAAAATGCCATTAGGATTTGATCATTGAGGTGCTCAATGGCTTGGTCGAAAATGTCCGGCCATGCTTTGTGAGCTCATCTAGTTTTGTTTCTGTGCTCGTGGTTTCCCCCAGCTCAGGTGCACACATCCTTTGTAGTCGGCCAACCAACTTGCTGTTGGTACCTTCCACAAGGCCATTGATCCATGGTGAGTACACTGTGACAATGTGGTGTTTGACACTGAGTTTGTCGCACCATTTTTTAATGTTTTTGTTGTTGAAGTGTTGTCCGCCATCAGTCATAAACATTTCTGGTGGTATGAACAAGTGCTTGACGTGGTCAAGGTTTGCTATTGTTGATTTAGCCATCCCATGCATCTTAAGTTTGAATCCCCATGTGTACTGTGAATATACATCATGACCTTGCCTGTGGGTGAGGTTGTAGTATTTTGTTGAGCTAGTACTGCCCCCAATCCATCCTTTGACCCATCTGTTGTTACTAAAAAGGGTGTGCCATTGAATCGGGGCCCTTTGAGGACAATACAAGAAGCCTTTTCAGCTCGAGGAAGGCTTTTGTATGTCGGTCTGTCCAGTGATTTGAAAGTGTTCTTGTTTTGAGAAATTGTTGGTATTTTCTTTTTCCTATGCCATTGTCTTCAGGTGAAGTGCATAGAGTACATTGAAGATCAGTAAGGGGGGCTGCAACTCTAGCATAGTTTACTATGAGTGATCTAAGATTGTGTAGTTTTTGTAATTGAGACCAATTAGTAACCACTGTTCATTTGGTGAGATCAGGCCTGATCCCGTCACACCCAACTCTGGCTCTAGCAAAGATGGCTTCTGTCATGAAGAGGAGGGACTTCTGTGGTGAGAGTGATAGACATTTCTCATACAATCATCCTTAAAGCATAAGCCATTGCCTTGAGAGGATGAAGCCTCTGCAAGCTTGTTGTGATGGTGTTTACAAGGTTCTAAGTGCCTGTCAAATTGGTGCAAGCTCCTAAAAGTCTTGCAGTATTGGCACCAAGGGTTATTGGAGATTCTCTTTGTCCTGCTAAATGAACTCATTTTAACGTGGTTTGGTTATGATGTTGTCACAGATTGGATTCAGACAATTGGGTTGTAACTGAGCAGTGGCTAGTATACACTTAATGGCATCCAACGTCAGTGATCCATGTTGGACTTGAAATCCAACAACCTTGCCAGTGGAGTTGCTCAGTGTGTACAGCCATCTCAAACAACCACTTTTCCATCACCACACTTGTTTCTTGTACATGCAATAGAATGGCAAGAAACCGGAAAAAGGATTGACAACAAGCTCCTATGAACAGAGACAGGGGTCAGACCCAGGGTCAAGAGATTGTTTCTAAGCTGAGGAACATTATGCAGTCAAGAGAGTGTGCAAGTGAGACCCAGTATGGGGAAAAAACACAGTCAGTGGTGACTGTGGCATAAATCATGAAGCAAAATCACCTAATTGGGAGCTTGAGTTGATGGTTGACTGAGCAATATCACCACGAGCACTTTACCAGGTATGTAGTTACTGTAAGATACTAGATAAATTTGTTAAATATACTGATGTACTGGTATCATGTTGCTCAAACAGCTCAGATAGAGGTCAACCCAGCCAGAGAAGAAACCAGGGCCTTGCGCCGCAAACTCAATGACTTGCTGAACGAGAACAAAAACCCTGAAAGTGAAAATGAACAGCAAAGCCCGTCAAAAAAGCAGGAGCTGATGGGCACTAGTAGTCAACTTCAAAGAAATATCAAGCTTGTCAAACAGCTTGGACAGAAGTACCTTTTAACATCACTGCTGTGGATGCATGATCCTATCACTACATTCAAAACACCCCTTGACGACGAATATGATCCACTTTTCAGGTTTGAGAATACTGATAAAAAGGTTCAAGGTCAGCTACATGGGATACATGAGATCATACCTCGTGAATTGCGAGAAATCATAAGCCAGGACTGGTTCATCTCTGCAGTATGTAATTTCATTATTCTGGTGCTCAAAACAGAACCAGGACTCAACAACACTTACTCAGTTCCGTGATGGGATGCAAGCACAACAATCAGATAGTGCCAGTTGTCTCCGGGCTTGTGGTGGTGCAATCTTTGATTGCTCACAGGCTGACTGACCTGAAGACATTGGCAGCAAGGCAAAAACAATTTATTGAGAAGATTGGTTGGCGGATGAATAAAAAAGGGAACTTATATTTTAGCTTGTGGGATGTTGAGATTCTCCATGTGAATTATTGCGGAAAGTTTGACATCAATAAGGTATTCCTGAATCCACTCTTGAAGGTGGTGAATAAGCCGTAACCTGTAGATTAACATTATTATAGCTAAAATGTGTCCAGGTAATATCCTGCATCGTCCAAGGACCTGGTTCAATATTTTCAACAAGAAAGGGGACACCTTATGATGGAGCACAAAGCACTGAGACATTGAATGTTCAATGGGGCCTCCAGCATACAACTCCAGGAATGATAGCGTCTGCTGCTGTTTTGGTAAGTTGAATGCTAAATAAATATTGGGCTGCTATTTAATTGTTGGTAGGCTTGATGGGTATTTTCCCCGACAAACTTTTGAAGGAACAAGGAGCCCAATCTGGAATACATTGGCACAAAGATTTTGACAGTTACTTACAGTATGTTCAAAGTGGCTTAATAAAAATAAAATAAAAGCCAGCATGCATGCTCACAATTTTCCATGGGATAAGGTGCCGTTCCCAAACACCAAAAGTGGTCTTGGAGGCCAATTAGATAATGAAGACCGGTCTGAAGAAATGCAGGAAGTAATGGGTGCTTTAAAAGAAAACACTGAAAAGCTGCCTCTGGATAATGAAGAGCAAGATGACAGAGGGATCAATGGGGAAGATGTACCAGTTTGGCAATATGGCAACAATGATTTTGAGTTTGGTGTAGGAGGGAGCCAAAGGGAGGGGAAAGTCTGAAATGTGATACACAATGTCAAACAGAATAATCATAGATTTGGCAGATGTCAGATAATGACTTCAAGGTTTGATGGATGATTAGCCAAATGATATTCAAACCATGTGACTTGATTCTCTTTTTAGACAGTCCAAGCCTAGATCCAGACCCAAGTCTTCTATGTGACATTGTGGGGTACTCCACAAGGTGCTACATCATACATATAATGGCACATTGCTGTGCATTTTCATCCTCTGCACCATCATGTCTGTTTCCTCCCTGACAGAGATGTCCAAATGAGCCTAGCAAAAACCCAACCACTGTAGCATCACTGTAATTTGAGGCTTTCTGAATATCCATCTAGTAAGTCTTAAATCATCCTCCTCATGCTCAAATAGCCGCTGACTCAGATATCCTCAGACTTTCTTTGTAGAATCTAAGTCGTTCTGAAATAGTGAGTAATACTGTTGATTGTCATTGTACTTGTACTAATCATGATCTCAACAACACATAGGTGCTATCATGTTATATTACATTGGTTTTTGCTCATTCCGTCCCATAGCACATATAATGTAATATCACTATGACTAGTAGTTAACAAAATTTATTCTATTCCCCCATCCTGTTCCGAGTTTAAGTAACTGCATGATTGAAGTCAAACTACAATGGTTGGTGTAAAATGGCCAGAGTGACTGACATGTATTGACAGTGATGCTATAGGATCTGATACGTCTGAGAGGTCACATTGTGCAGATCAAACTGGTTGGGCTGGTCTGACTGATCAGGCTGTCCATGCTAGTTAGGCATATATATCCTCAAAAGTGATATAGCGCCATATGACTGTGGACAATAATACTCAGGTGTGATCTGATAATGGCTTACAAGGCCTTGCTGCAACATTTTGACTGTTATCATAGGATCAAAAGCCTGACTGTATAAACTGGCCTTTTGAGGCCTTACATAGGAAAACAGATTTTTCTGACTGTTACGATACACAATTTTTGGACTTACAATCTTCTTTCTTAAAGTTCTCACATACTTTTCTTTTGTTCAGACTGTCAACTTTTTTGCACTGTACTGCTTTTCTTTATTTTTAGATACAAGTCTCTCACACAGTAGAGCTGGTCACGCATGCTGTGCCTTACGACATTATTAAGCCACTGCTTCCATCAACTGTATAGTACATAAGTAAAAACACCCTGTATTAGTATATAAAACCCCAATAGATTCAGGAGACTCCTCAGCGGGTCCTCCTGTTGTTTACTCACAACTAACTTGGTCCAACTTTAAGAGGTTTACCCACTCCTCCACCTATCCTCTTTGCTTGTTGTTGTATGTACCAGAGTATATGAACTTTGGTTATTACAACCTCAGATGGTTCTTTTGTTGAGGGAAATTAGTCTCAAAAACCAACAATCTGCACCTCCTTATTCTAAAAATAGACAACATCCTCTTACCATCCCTTCTAGTAATGCCTCATTTGCTTTGTTCTTTTTATCTGATACTCTTTTTATCTGATATTCACTCTAGGCTGTAGGCACAAAACTCCACCAACAAACCTGAAAAACCATATCAAATAGACAACCTGCTCTCATGGCAGCCTTACACAAGTTCAATGCATATTCATCAGGAAAGCTTTGTTGTGCCATATAGACAATGTAGCCAGTCATGCAATTACCTATAGCCACATGTCCCTATGTTGAGGATTTCAGTTGCATCAAGATAAGTAGTGTCCTAAACATGTAGAAATTATATTACATAAGCAAACTTCAGAGCTTTGCCCAAAGATTTATTTTGTGATTATAACCAGCCTTTTGTGGCTATTAATTTTCACATGGTATTTAAATTTGTTTGGTATACAAGAAGCTTTGTATCTATGTTTTATGGCATTTGTTTTCCCACATATCCTTCTCCCACACCCTGAAGGTCTGAATGTCCAACAAAACATTATGTAGTACCTCCATTGAATTTGCAGTATTTACTGTAGACTACATAAAGCTAAATTGTAGTTAAATAGTCTTTCAGATCTACAAAATAAATCAGTGTCAATAAAATGATTCAAAAAATAAGTATTTGCTTGTTCCAGGATGTCATTGCTTAACCAAGCCATGTTGACTTTCAGACCCATTTTTGGAATCAGGTGATATGGCCGCATAATGTTGCTCAGGGGCACTACACTGTTTTGTTGGCAGTTTTGAGTTGACCTTGAAACCACGTGTACTTTCAAGTGTGTGTGTAGGGCAGGTAAAGTAGAGTGAACCACTCTATATAAGTAAAAGGGAGGGAACCTGAGCAGCGCCAAAGTTCTTAGGGCAATTGAAAAATTGTGTGTACTTGTGCAACTTGTAGGCCTACCCAGTGTACATATCCACATGTAAGATTGTTAGTGTAAAATTTGAAAGATTCACAGACAAGAAATACCTGCTAGTCATGGTGTCATAATTTCTCCATGACTCAGCACCTCATTCTTTAGTCTCACTGATACTGTGTCGGACCATGCAAGAAATATGGTTTTGTGATTTGTGTCCATTCAAAGATGCATTAATTGCGGCAATTACATGCACCCGGAATATTACACCTTGTTCAGCACCAAAACAATTTGCTCACAGCTTCAGGGTGAAGTCCTTGTAGACATCAAAGCAATCTTGATAGGTGTGATCAGGTGTGCAAGATTGGGTTAGCATTTGTTTTTTGTTGAAGTATTGCTACAGAGCTGGCAAAACATCCACAGCCCCATATGCACTTTCCGGACTGCTAACAGATGTGGCAGAAAAGGCTCCACTTTTTGCTAGCATGCTCTATGTTGAGCATGTTGGCAAAACAGGCGAGCATTATCTTTTGTCATCTGATTCAGTTTCTGAGTCCACTAGCTGCGTGCTTATGCTCCTGAAAATGGCCTCAGGGTGTAATGTTTTCATCTCAGAACTTGAGCTTGATGCTTGAAGAACTGCTCGCATAAAGAGTGATCATTAGATCGCAACAGACTCCTGGTGCTGTAGCCAAAGCACTATTTGTAAACAACAATGGTGATGGTAATGGTGACATTAATATGAGGCAGATACTTGATGATTTTAAGGCATTGTATACAAGTCATGCAGGTGGGGAATTGAAGGTATCGGCCCTATGGCTCAAAGATGGTATATAGAATAGGTGAACATATCTTTTGATTATATGCATTCCGAAAACTCACCAGTGTTTCAGCTGCAATCAATCCCATAAACTATGGTAACATGATTACCAAAATTAATGTAACTATGTATTATGTCAAGTTGATGCTTTAGGAAAGCAGCTACTGGCACTGATGGATTCATACATGGGATGGAGTTATATGTAGGAGGAATTTATTGGCCATGGGTTTTGGCAGATTACTGAAGGGATAACAAGTCATGGGCAACTGAATCCACACTGATAGACTGTATTAATATCAAGGTTGTTGACTTCTATGGTATGTGTTATTTCTATTTTTTCCTTGCAGGCAATAACACTATCATGTTTTACAGTTTTACACAACTTCCAACTGAAGATATTCACAAAGAATCATTTTGTTGTGTTTGCAATGATATGTCAAGGTGTCATGCCATGCTTTCCAATAGCTCCAAATGTAGGAATCACCATTGATGCCCTCAAGATATACCATTGCACATATTTCTGGAATTCACATTTTTCTATACAGGCCTTTGTGAAAATACTTGCAAATCTTCATGAGGTACATGATCTACTTACTATCAGTTTCTTCTGGTTTACTAACTATTTTATATAGGCTCCATGCAAAAAACATCTGTTTTCTGAAGGCCCTCCATTATAATTTACTGGCAACTCAATCATCCTTGCTAGCATGTATATACAAACTAAAGGATGAGGCCCTCTAAAATCCAAAATTCTATACACAGCAGCCAACCATGACAACAACAGACCCAACAAGCCTCCTGAGGAGATCTATAGTGATTATTACCTGTTAAGAGCCTATATTGACAAGTAAGTTCAGGAAGTGCTTCAAGGTTTCACTGTATTCTAAATATATCTACTTATTTCAGATCAAATGTTGTCTATAAGATGATGTGGAGGGAAATCCCTGTACTGGCTGTAGGAAGAACACAAAAGAAAACATCACAAAGAAGATGTGGGGGGTTTTTGATGATACCAGAATTTTTCTAGCAGTCTGCCTCCATGGCTTCTGCCTTCTTGTTGTTGATATAGTCCAGAGTGGTGAGCTGTTATTTGTTCCTTAACTAATCCTTACTTACTTGATAAAACTATACTATTCAGTGCAAAGTATCCTTTTCTCTTATAGAGAAACTTCTGGATGCTTTTGTTAATGGCCATGCTAGGAGGTTTGATATCAATGCAAGTTCAGAACCATATTAAACAGAAGCCCACTTAGGAGATGTTCTTAGGAGCTCAACCATATATGCCTTGTTAGCATATTTTATAGACATACACACAGGCACACTGTTACAGTACACAATTTTTGAACCTTTAAATTTTATTCTCTACTTTAACTTTCTTTCATAGTTTTTGCACACTGTGCCATGTGGCACTTTCTATTTTGTTCAAACTCCATTTTCTCATGCTGCACTGTCTTTTTTTATTTCTAGCTATAAGTCTCTCATGCAGTGGAGCCAGTCACACGGGCTGTGCCCTATGACATCATCAGCCACTGACCTTCATCAACTGTATAGTATACATGTACAAATAGTCTGTAGTAGTATAAATACCCTGATAGATCAAGGAGTATGGGTTGTCTGGAACTATGCTATCAGGTCAAAGCACTAACATGGGAATGGGAAAGAGCACCAGCAAAGCTCCTCTGTATATTGATGTTATTGCAGCAAGTGTGAGTTCTGGTTCTAGCAAGGATCATTAAGAGTCTCTTATTGAAAATGATGAAGCAGAAGGGGTCACTGAGAACAAAGATCTTGAGGAAGGGGACAAAGAAAAGGAAAAGGAGTAGGAGGACAAAGAAGAGAAGTAGGAGAGTATCAGATTTTATATTTATATGTACATAAAAGAGAGAAGAATGTATAGTAGAATGTAGGTATAATGTATATGTAGTAGATGTAGTATATATTTGTGTAGTAAATTATAAAAGAAAAAAGAAACAAACATAAAAAAGTAAAGAAAGAACATAAAAGTTGGATTTTTTGTCCAAGCAACAAAATATAGGCATAGGGCAGAAATTACAAATGGAATGGAACACAATAGTGTGATGGTAACAGAGAACAATGACAAAAGCATGGCAGACAGCCAAAAGCAGATGACACAGGCATGAGGCAGAGAGGGCAAGGGTAGCAGTTTTCCCATTTTGATATCCTCCATAGAGGTAGTCTGGCCTTTAGCATGAAGCCAGGAGCAGGAGTTAGCATCCTTGCTTTGTCCAGATTTTGCTTCAGCTTGAGAACTTCAGGCTTATCACCTAGATCTGCGATTTCTTGGACTAGCCAGTTATCAGCAAAAAGCCGAGCATTATCTGTGCCTTGAATAGTTGCCCCACTCATGATGAAGTAACAAGCAATCTGCTCCAGGGAGATATCCAAGGCAACAAGAAACTTGTACTGTCTCCTCCTGCAAATTAGAATTTCCAGCTCCTTGTTACCCATGACTTCTCTATAAGGACAACCAGAGTATGCCAAGACTTCTGTCACAACTTGCATATATTATGTTTGCCAATTGTGGCTCTCCGCACTTGCTGATGACTGTAGGCTCAGCTGTAATACCACCAGGTATCCCCTTATAACCTAGTGGTCATAATATTGGTTTACTGGTGGGGGGATACCTTTAAAGGTTTGCTAATGGTCTACCATCCAGTAAGTTCATCACATTTTTTTACCAAGTTCTTTCTAAGTCTTCCAGGTCCTTCTCCAAAAGGCCTTTACTCCCCTCCTATTTTATCCTCTACTCTCCCCTTATTCACTCCATTGAGTTAGGGATCAAGGTCCACAAAAGGGTTTAGCGCACAAGCTAAGCTACTCTCACAAGTGTACCTGCATCCTCCAAGCTCCAGCAACTCCAAAGGTCACGGTTCTGACACATAGCAAACAAATGTGGGAAAAGCTCTGCTCTGGAGTTGGGGCCCAAGAAAAGACAGTACATCTGAAATTTCCATTGGTACTAAGTGTAGCACTTACTTCTCTCTATAATAATTGTCCAGAAAGTAGTGTTGCCCAAGACCCTCTTGTTCACCATAGACACCATTTTGTGAGGGCCATACATACCTTCTGCAACATCCAGAATCTTATAGAAAGTGGTATCAAGCATATGGTATCAGATGAAGTCAAAAAAAGTTATACTGTTTAGTATGATATCCTACCTATCATTACTAGTATCCCCACTAACAACCACCTTACAGGGGACACAGAGAGCAACATATATTTGTAGATCTACTAAAACGCGTTCCAGGGCTTGAAAGATGCTTAATGGGCAAGGCATCAACTGAAGAGAAAGTGATACATATTGCAGACTTGGTATATATGTTCATCTTACCACAATTCACTCTTAACAATGCTTTATTTGGCAGATCCAAAAAGGAGCCAATGGGGCCAGATCAGATAATACCAAGGGTATCAAGACCACAGTGATTGATTGGATTATGCCTAAGGGGCAGACCCTGTTACCCCATCTTCATTGCAATATAAGGACTGGCTGTGGCTTTAACCATAATTATACCAGTGCTCTGCTATTCTCTATAGGGCTGGACTGGTCAGATCCAGAGTAAGTCACAATTTATTTGGTCTCCCTCTAACATGGTGTTGATTGTCTCTTGGAAGGACAAAAAAAAAGCTCATAAATGGCCAGATTCAAGTTGCAGGTGATCAGTGGCCAGTGATGCTGTACGCAAACTATCATTATGACTTGAAGGTCTCCTGGAATGGTTTATTGAGGAGTATTTGTATTCTCTTTTCAATGTAATCTGGCAGTCTTTGATGTAGTTCTATGCTAATCCATTCATACAACAGGCCTTCAAGCATATTTTAACATGATTGAGTTTTGTCGACCAAAAGCCCAAGGCTACACACTCTGGTCACCAGAGCCTCTATCACCTATGTAGCTACTCAAGTAAGTGGACTAAGTTCTAATATCTTCAATATAGAAGAACTAATATTTCATAGATTATTTCTGCTAGGTTCACTTCCTATGAGAACATTGAGGCTGAAGTCAGTGGACAAATCTTATTACTGACTCACAGCATTTCTATAATAGCATTCTGGAATTACTGGAAGATCCACAAGAAAGTAACAAAGTAATCATTTTGATGGCCTGGTAAAACCAGTACATGGAGTTATCATATCCTTTGCTTTATATGTGCTGATAAATATTAAACAGTGAAGTATTTTCTTGCTATACCTTTTCTTGTTTTTTAAACCCCATCTACTTTCCCATTTCCATTTGATGACAAAAGATTCAAATTTTTTGCTACCAGTTAAGAGCATAAGCTTTTTTCTCCAGTCCTATTCATTCAGTTGCACTCAAAAAAGCCCAGAGTTTAAGTTTTTCTCCATATTTCTGTTAATTCAGATTTATTACAAATACTTATTTTATTCCCATTTAATTGCTATTTAATATTTATGTGCAGTCAACAAGCTAATATTAAGGCACAGGCTTAAATGAGCCTAACCATAGTGTAATTACCAGTCTCAAGGAAAGCACCACTTATATTGGCATGTATTGAATGACAAAACTGGATAAACCTAGTCTCTGCTAAACAACCATTACATAACACATTTTCGGACCTTTAAATTTCATTCTCCCCTTTAACTTTCTTCTGCAGTTTTCACACACTGTGCCATGCGGCACTTTCCCTTTTGTTCAAACTCCACCTTCTAACGCTGCACTGCCTTTTCCTTATTTTAGCTACAAGTATCTCACGCAGTAGAGCTGGTCACACAGGCTGTGCCCTTGACATCATCAGCCACTGCCTTTATCAACTGTATAGTACATATGTAAAAACAAACCTGTAATAGTATATATACCCCAATAGATCAAGGAGACTCCTCAGCGAGTCCTGTTGTTTACCCACAACTAACTCGGTCCTACCTAAGGGGTAACCACTCCCTCATCACTACCTTTATAGTTTGTTCTAGTTGTGCGCCAGAGTAAGAAACTCTTGGTCATTACAGTTGAGGGTAATCAACAAGAGGACTTGCTGAGGAGTCTCCTTGATCTATTGGGGTATATATACAACTACAGGCTATTTGCACATGTGTATTATACAGTTGATGAAAGTGGTGGTGATGATATCATAGGGTGCAGTCCTTGTGACCAGGTCCACCATGTGAGACAGTTGTATCAAAAAATAAGATAAAGCAGTGCAGCACAAGAAAGTAAAGATACAAGTGGAGTTTTAAAATAAAGGAACAGTGGTAAATAGGGAGGTTATTGTGCATGGGTGGTGGAATGTTCCCACAGCCTTGACATTGTGTGGCGGAGGGTTTGAGGTGTGAGTGTCCTGGCAGGACACTTGTGCCATCAAATGGTGAGCAGGATTTTTCACAGTCCTGCCTGCTTACCTTTGAGGCTACAATGCATTCTCTATACTGGCACCTCATGCCACACACCTGTTATAATTCAATTCATCTCCCAAAAATGGATCAAGCATGAGAATAAATGTACTATTCATGTTATTGGTGATAGAAGGACACACAAAAGTAGCGTAGACTGATATATCATGCTTACCCAAAGTTTTAGCAGGTTCTGCTTCACCTTAAGGACATTTCAGAGGGGACTATGGTGTCTAGTGTGGAGGAACTTTGTAATTTTTTAGGTACCAAAGGCCCTGGACCTGGTGGATATATTATGCGTGGTTAGTGTCAGGCGTATTCCCTAGATTTCTGCACAGAATACAGAAAAAGGCAGGAGGACAAAATAGCATCATTTTTTAATAAGTTGAGTTGTTATCCTATAGAGAACACTTACTAGACAGCTTAATGTGAGATAGGTTATTGACAATTACTTTCAATCAGTTTTAATAGATGCTTCAATGAGAAAGTCATGCCAATAGGTGTCATCTGCAGAAAGGCTGGTGTCTGATAGATGCAAACCAGACCTAATGCTTGTTGATGATGTCGTGGATGGGGGCTATACTTGGCTTCATCTAATCTCTATGTGCAAGGTCAAATATATAGAACTTCCCCACCTTTTCAGCCTTGCCATAGGCCAGTTAGCAGTGCATTATTTGTCCTTTATGAGCAAGTTGCTAGGAGATTTTACATTAGATTGTCTCTCTGCGGGCCCATGCTAAGGATATCACTATTTACCAGAGAAGGCAACACTACCACTTCACTATTTGACATTAATAGATACACTGAGCTATTCATCAGGATCTTGATCTTCCTTCGTTACTTGCAGACTAGATGGCTAGGCTACAACTATGCTACATGCTATGGATTACAACAATGAGGGTGTGGCAGTTTTGCATGTCATGCAAGGTGAAGCTACTCTACTCTATAAAGTCGTTGCAATCTTCTTTAAGCTGATGGGCCTGCTGGGAAGAGCCACAAGGGTTATGGTGGCAGAGGTTTCTGATAATGGGCCTTGTGCACCTGAAGATCCTGATCGTGTCATTATCAAAGATTTTTGGCTTACCACTGGCACTCCTTCCAACAGCAACATTCATGATAAGCTAGAAGATTTGACAAAAGATCCATTCTTTGCAAGTTACAATGAAAGCTCCTCACCTATCTTCCATTATCCTGACAATCACCAACCTCCTCCTGCATCTTTTGACGACATCATCAGATCTGGAAATCCAGAAGTGGATGCCTTATATGATAGGGCAAACACCGGCTGGGATGACACACACCCCCCACCAGAAATTCCAATCAGAGACCATTGCCTTTCCCCATCATCAACCCTTGTGCCACCTATTGCACATCCTGGGACGCTTATTCAGGACACAACCAAGGTTATCATGAGCATTGCTGGAGTTTCAGAGTTTGCTGCCTTGGAGGACCATACACATCATTGTATGGCCATGAAAACAGTTGGGGTAGAACTTGGGTGGTTTTCCTGTGTACGTGAAATGCTGGGTGGGATTATTGGTGTTTTACTTGGTAAACCAAGAATTGTTTACATTCATCTCATCACTTGCTAGTATCTGGCTACACAAGCTTTCAGAATAGTTACTTGAGATGTGGTCTTATTCATTGTGATGTTAGTGATAGCAATTCATGGCTTCAAGTCAAGGCTGCCTTGGCCATCCCAGATTGGCCTGTTAATGTCAAAAATGACTGGCATCCACAGCATCCTGGAGTTTTAGGAGATTGAGCAATAGCTAAAGATGTTCAAAATAGTGACGCTGACAGGACCACAAAATATCTGACAATGAGTTTTCTTATTCAGTTATGATAGAATTATTACTTATATCTTTGGAATATCAAGGGACATATCCTTCTCAAGCTATAGGGAGAATTCTGCAACCTGACCTGCCGCATGACTATATTGATGACTTGGAGTCCGTTTTGTGGATGTTAAGGTTGATCATGGTCAACTGCAAAGGACCCTACTATTAGCAAATTGACTGGGATGAGCAAGCAAAGCAAACTGCAGTTGGCAAGAAACCTATGTCATTAAAGTGCTCAGCCCCTCAGGAATAGAAGCCTCCAGAAGCATCACCTCATCAGCACAGTGATGTCCCATTACACAGTCACATTACCTTTAACTACAAAAAGGATCTCTCCAGTAATGTTACTAAGGAAGGCATCCTGAATATCCCATCTTATCAGTTGCAACTCTTTTCTCACAGCAAACAGGACAATATCCCTGCCTGGGTCAAATAAGGGTGTCAAATGCTTAATGCCTACATAGTAGCAATGAAAAAAGTTTTGCTCTCATGCCTTCACTTTATAGCATATATCAATCCTTATTTCTGCAGCCATGTCTCTGTCAGGGCAGGGATGTGCAAGCTTTCAGTGTGTTTACATGGAGTGAAATATTGAGTGATGATGGCAACGTGCTTTATAGTCCTCCCCCCAACCATATTTCACACCAGGAGATGGTGGATATTGTGAGAGATATGAGGAACAATATTGAGCCTGAGTCTGATAGTGTGGAAGTGTCTGTGGAGATTATCACTAGAAGGGAGAATTGACAGCTACAGCTCTAGGACGTGTGTAATAATACACAATTTTTGGACTTTCAGACTTTCATTCTCCTTTTTAACTTTTCGTTATTACTTTTGGATACTTGCACCATGTGGCACTTTCCTTTGATTTTAAACTCCACTTATTTTGTTACTTTCTTGTGCTGCACTGCCTTTTTTTATTTATAGCTACAAACTCTCTCTCATGTGGTGGAGCTAGTCACGAGGGCTGTGCTCTATGACATCATCAGCCACACTTAGCAACTGTATAGTATATATGTAACACGAACCTTTAGTAGTACATATATATACCCCAATAGATCAAGGAGACTCCTCAGTGAGTCCTTCTGTTGTTTACTCATAACTAACTTGGTCCTATCATAAGGAGTTTATCTATTCCTCCAATCACCATCCCTGTTTGTTTTTGTTGTGCACCAGAGTATACAAACTGTTCTTGCTACATCAATGGGATATATTTCTTCTTTCAGAAAATAAAAGTTTACCTTTGAGTCTTTTGATGAAGTTTCAACAATATATAATGTTTGCTTTTAGTAGCAAAGGATGTTGTTTACTTCATTAACCATAGATCACTCTGCTGGCTCATATTCAGAATTGCTAATATTGTACACAGGAAATCTACTACATGTAGGCATAGCAAGAGGGGTATAATTATCTGTGGTTATATTAAGGTCAGCATGTTATACCACAGTAATTGATTTGATATACCATTTGGCCGCATTGAATTTATTAACTCTTCTGCCTCATTGTCAAGTTCATCATGAATATCATCTTCAGCTATTCTCCTTGGCTTTTTACAAACAGGCTCTCCATCCTCTTCTATATCCCCTTTGTTACTGCTCCTATCAATATCATCAACTTCAGCCTCAAGCATGTTAGCAGTCTTCCTATATATACCTGTATTTTAAAGGACAGTGTTAATATAAATTATAAATACATAAATAAACAAAAGCACACCTATTAATTTCTCCTCATTAGCTTGTACTTTGGCAGCCTTGAGCTTCTTTTGAAAGGTTCTCTGACATTTGTCTTTCTTTTGTAGTCAAACCTTCATCTCTACACTTGGAGGAAGTAGACAATAGTGTGTTAGCTATTTTGGCCTTGTTTTTTCTGTTCCCTGCTGAAGTAACAGGACCTTGCTTTTTTGAGTCTGTCCAGACCTGGTTCCAGGAGCCACATAATAGAGTAATGTTACAATTGACATACCAGCACCTACTTATGCTTCACTTTTTGTACTTTTTACTTTTACTTTTTCCAAGTCACATGACCAGTCATGTGACCATTTACTTTACTTTACATTTTTTGGACTTTTCATAGTCACATGACCAGTGTCTACGCTCACCATGTGATTGGTCACATGCTAGACATTGGACTTTAAACTTTATTTACAACTGTACAGTACCTCATGTATTTTAGTATATATACAGGAGCAATACATGGGGAAGGACTCAGCAAGTCCTCCTGTTGTCTACCAACAACTAACTCGGTAGCACCTTGAGGGGAAATCCCTCCTTCTCATTACTCTTTTGAGTGTTGTTTTTGTTATGCTCCAGTGCCCCAAGACTGTGTCTTGTTGGTGTTGTCACAAGTAAGGTATAAATAGAGCTAAAATGCAAGAATTGACAACCAGCAGACAATATCTTACTGGATAGAACCTCTCACATTTCAAAGCTTTCACCTTACAAATATCTACAAATACAAACATTCAATGATGTTGTAAATTACACTTAAATTGGCGGTAGGGGCCAGCATATACTGTAAATATTGCGACTACTCAATTGTGTGATAAAATTAAACCTAATTGAACTTAACATTACTTTCTCAACCACTATGTCCTTCAGCCCAACTTTCCATCTCTTACCCTTGAAGTACAAATGCATGTGAGTAATGTCACATAAAGAACATACCACAAAATCTCTCTTATTCAGTTGCAACACCAATCCAATCATGGGAATAATATCTCTTAGGTAATGCTTGTAAAAGTGGAGAGAATGAGATGAAATATGTGGACATAGATATTCAGAAAAAAAATATAATGAGAGTGAATGTATAATATTAACAGGTTCCACAAGGCTTAAATCTCCCTCTTTGTGCTTATCTAGTGTGAGCACAAGGCATACTTTTTTGTCCTTTGCATCGTAGTGAGCTTTAGTTCCAAAGTTGACATTGACTACTAAGCCGATGAAAGTGTAGACAGTAGAGTGATTGCTTCCAGCTCAAATATTGCCTGTCCTACTGTCTGTCCTCTTCAGAATTCCAGAACTATGGCTTGTGGTTTGGATATGACAGTATTCCCTTTTAGGGTTGAACCCTTGAGACCCAAAATAGCCCTTGTAGGACTGGACTCTGGTGGATGTGCTTGAATGGGGTCAGGGTAGAATTTCTCCGGTGGACTAATTTCTTGGTAGCAAGTGGTGTGCAGAATCTGGGCTGAGTTTGAATGAGGATATATATTATGGGGGGGTCAACTTGGAAATTCCTTCAACTGGACAATCACGTCCAAAGATCTGTGCCTACGACTACCACCACCACCACCACCATCATCATCATGCCCAATGCCCCTGAGAATGCCATAGTGAAAATGGCCCACCTCTGCACAGAGATGGCGGAGGCTGAGCACCAGCTCAAGGAGGAGCAAAAAAGGGCAGAGGAGGAAGCACAGTGGGCAGTAGAGGCCCACAAAGCAGAGGAGGAGAGGCAAAGGCTCGAGAAGGAGAAAGCGGAGAAAGCAGAGGAGGTGCAGGCGGCGGAGTCAGGGGAGACACAGTCCAGGCATCCCTGCTCCGTCTGCGTGTCCCAGGGCTTGGAGTGCAAATAAAGCGGCAAAGGATGACGGGTGAGCGCCTGCACAAACTGCAGGGCAGCCAACCACCAGTGTGAGGAGGACGGGAACACGGTTGTGGGTCCCAGCAAGGAGAAGAGGAGGGTTCCAGTGGAGTTGGAGGCGTTGGAGGTTGCAGAGCGCGCGATGAAGAGGAGGAGGGCGGCGGCACCCGCAACAGAGAAGTTGGAGGAGGGATGGAAGGCCCAGATTGTGGGCCTGCCGTGGGTGTTGTTGGAGGAGCAGAGGGCCACCAGGCAGCTCCTAGCTGACCTGGGGGAGGAGACCCTCAACCCCCTGGTGGATCTGGTGTGGTCAGACTCCAATGAGGAGTTGAAGGTGGGAGAGGAGGAGCTTGTGGAGGCGGCTGGGCAGGAGTGCTTGGACAAAATCAGGCACTTCAATGTGCATGAGTGGAAAGAGCAGGAGGATAAAGAGGAAGAGGAAGAAGTGGAGGGGCGAGTATCCAGAGTTGAAGGGGCAGGGTGAGGAGTATAAAACTCCCCCCCTCCAACACTTACTGTACTATAGAATAGATGTAATATAGTTCTCTTTTTCTCTTGTTTCTGAAATCATTTCCTTTGTTCTGGCCCAAAAATCCCGTGTGAGTAAGTCTGAGTGGATGAATGAATGGAGTGAGTACTGAGTAAGTCTGAGTGAGTGTAAGTCCGAGAGAGCTATAAGTCTGTGCAGAGGTAAGAGGTGAGTTCCAGAGGAATGATTTTGTACATATGGACCGGGCACACTGCGTGGAAATTTGAAACTAGTTCAGAGACATTCTTGAGTTCTGTTGCCAGTATCTATGAGGTCTCATCATCCGTACCTTCATAGCCAGACCTTCTAACAAGATAAAATAATGAGTAGGGCTTCCTGCGGCAATCAACCTTGGAGTGAAGGATTTTGGAGATTTTGTATTCCGGCTCTCTGTCAACAAGGACAGGGTGAGGCAGAGGCTGCTCACAGTTGGGAATGGAGCTTGGAGTTGCTGATTTGGGCTGGGATACATGGAAAATGGGGTGTATGGCTTTCATACTGTCCAGGAGTTTTAGAGTGAAGGATCTGGTACCTGCCTGAGCTATGACCGTATGGGGGCCAAGATACTTTTCCAAGAGTTTCTTAGAAGGGCGCATGGAGCGGAAATACTTGGCCAGAACATATGCTTGTCCACCAATCCGGAAATCTGGGGCTGGCATGCGACAAGTGTCTGCGGGGCCTTGGTACTGCTTCTGTGCATGGGAAATCTCACCTTGGAGAAATTGGTGAAGATCATCTAGGTCTATAGCATATTTCTGAGCTCTAGTGGAAGTGAGGTCACACTCTGGATGCATGGAGATATTGGGGTGGTAGCCTTTATTTGCAAAAAAGGGTGATATCCCTGTAGCAGCGCCCAGAGCGTTGTTGTATGCACACTCTGTTCAATTGAGAACTTCTGGGAAGTGTCTAGCCATTTGCTGAGAGCTAACAGGGATGGGACTAGAGTCCAGTATGAGTAACTATATTATCAGAGAGTACAGAATGTGTACAGTAGCTAGGGTCCAGTATGAGTAACTAAAGAATAGAAATACTGGACTCTGCAATACTAGTCCGAAGTTTTGTAAACAAAGGTAAACAAATCAGCCACAAAGGCGAATTTATAGAATGCTCAGTAAATACTGAACAATAGAGCAAAAAGAATAAAGAGAAAAGTGATTTAGAAAGAAGGGAAAATATATAGCGCAACTAGGTGCAGAATCATCAAAACTAACATGATAAAATTGGATATTGACCGGACCAGGGATTGAACCTGGAACCTTCTGGATATATGCCAGCTGCTCTACCAATTGAGCTATATTGGACAAGGTTATACAATACAGGATCTTAAACATGACATGCAACCACAGACGTCTTACACAGAATAGCTGCTGCATACTGGGCTGGCTTACAAATCAGAGGTATTATCCTATGGAGTACTGGTATGTCAGAGTATATTCTAACAAACTCTGTTAATAGGAGGAGTTCGGACTAGTTGTCTTGCTGGTAGTTGCAGTGTGACAACACCAACAAGACACAGCCTTGGGGCACTGGAGCACAACAAAAACAACACTCAAAAGAGTAATGAGAAGGAGGGATTTCCCCTCAAGGTGCTACCGAGTTAGTTGTTGGTAGACAACAGGAGGACTTGCTGAGTCCTTCCCCATGTATTGCTCCTGTATATATACTAAAATACATGAGGTACTGTACAGTTGTAAATAAAGTTTAAAGTCCAATGTCTAGCATGTGACCAATCACATGGTGAGCGTAGACACTGGTCATGTGACTATGAAAAGTCCAAAAAATGTAAAGTAAAGTAAATGGTCACATGACTGGTCATGTGACTTGGAAAAAGTAAAAGTAAAAAGTACAAAAAGTGAAGCATAAGTAGGTACTGGTATGTCAATTGTAACATGCAGTAGATCTGTAGGTACCGTTTGAGCATCTGGATAGTTGGTTCTGTCTGTCTGTTGCCCTCTGGGTGGTATCTGGAGGTAAAATGGAGGTGGATATTGAATTTTTTTTGAGGGAACAGAAACAGTAGGAGACAAACTTGGAGCCGCAATTGGAGGTGACATGGGTGGGAACTTCTTGCTTGGAGAACACATGTAGGAGGAAAAGCTTAGCTAGCTCTGGAGACATGATGGTACCATAGGTGGGAATAAACAAGGATTGCTTGGTGAGCCTGTCTACAACTACCAGGATGGGTGTGAAACCATTGGAGGCCGGAAGTTGCTTGACAAATTCCATGGAAAATAGAGTTCCACAGTTTTTCCAGTTACTTCAATGTTCTGTGGGGTTTGTGATGAGGTCCCTTAGCTCTGGCACAAGTGGTATAGGACTTCACATAGTCTTTTACAAAGGTCCGGAGTCCAGGCCAGGTATATTCTTGACGGATGAGCTCCAGGGTTTTATTCTGACCAAAGTGTCCAGAAAGAAGGTGATAGTGTTTGTCCCTGAGGACTCGGAGTTGAAGATTGTTAGCATCTGGGACATAGAGGTGATTGTCACACCGAAGGAAACCATTGAGGTCATTAGACCAGCAAGGGTTGTGTGGAGGAGGGTTTGCGAGGAGTGCAGCAGAAACCGGGTCAATAGTCAATGAGGCGAGTATGTCTTGGTGGAGCAGCTCAGAGCCTATTATGGAGATGGCAATGGCTTGGTCAGAGATGAGAACAAAACCAGTTGCTCAGTGGTGAAGATCTGTCGGAAATTCTGTGGGTTAACTTTAGCATAGTTCTATGTAGTGTCGCCACTCCAGAGTCAAGATGGAAAGGACGGCAGCAATGGCGTAGTCTGAAGCATCAGTTTCCACAATCAGTTGGGCATACGGAACCCAGTGCAAGAGAACCAGAACAATTGTAAGGTGTTTTCAATGCTTCAAAAGATTTTCAACAGTCATCGGAGAAATTCCAAGGGATGTCTTTCCATGTAAGGCGGGTGAGCGGAACAACAATACCAGTGTAGTTATCAATGAAACAATGGTAGAAGTTGGTGAGCCCCAGGAAAGACTGTATGTCCTTAATTTTACGTGGTTTAGGCCAGTCTCGGATGGTTTGGACTTTGTTATTGGATATTTTGAGGCCTTTCAGAGAGAGGAGGAATCTAAGGTATTCAACAGAATTGGTATAAAAAAAGCATTTGTCAGGGTGTGCATACAACCCGTTGGCATAGAGCTGCCAGTGTACCTTCTGGACATGTGCTATGTGCTGCTCAGAGTTATTGGAGAATATGAGGACATTGTTGAGATAGACAATAACGCAGACATGAAGGAGATTAGTGAATATTGTGTTGATAAATCCAGACTAGATAATAGGTGTGTTGGAGATCGAGCTTCGTATAGATTTTGGTGCAACTTGGAGTATCTAGGAGATTGGAGATGCGGGGAAGTGGATAGCAATCCTCTTTTGTGATCTTTTTCAGCCCTTGGAAGTCTACACAGAGCCTGTGGGAACCATTAAAAGATGCAGCGGGAGCTTGTCTACTTTGGCCTTGCTGAAAACACTTTCAAAATCATGGTATCTGGCGGGGACTGAGGATAGATCCACAACTTCTGGGGTAGTGGAGGAGGCTCGGAGTTCGGATAAGTGCATAGTAAAATGGGTGGATCCTTCAAGTTTGCAAGCCTAGTGAAAGGCAACCGCGTTTATGAGGGACACATTTGAAGACAACGGGTTGGAGATCAGAGTTGACATTGGTTGGGCATTCAAGGTCTTCGGAGTACGGAATGAGATATTGTCCTGTACCCAGTTAATTGATGGATTGTAGCAGGTGAGCTAATTGTGTCCCAGGATGAATCCAACAAGGTAACATAGAAAGTTATTGGAGTGACTTTTCCACAGGGAAAATGGACAGATAAGTCTACTGCCTTGGTAATAACAGAGTTCAATGTTCCATCAAATAAGCAGAGTCAGACTGGAGCAATAGTATAGGGAGAAAGTTGACTAGCATTCACAAAGGTGGTGTCTACAAAACAATGTGATAATCTAGATTCTACTAAAATTGTAAAGGAAGGGTTTGGAAGAGATTCAGAGGTAAGGGATATGTAGAGAGAATTGGTATCAGAAAAAGCGGACACATTGAGACATATCTCTATTAATGCACGGTTAGGATCAACAGTCCTCAACCCGTGCGCAGTGTGGAGGACTGCTGACTATTTTTTGCCTTGGTGGCATCCGGTTTGTTTTCAAGAACTGCTGCAGCGGCACAAGCTTTCATGGCACTGGAGGAGGACTTAGGGCACAACTCTGTGTTGTGGCTGGCTTGTCTGCAGAACAGACAGAGATTAAGATTATTGTCAAAACAATGTTTGCATTCCTCTGGGGTGAGTTTTCTGTCCTTGCCTTGGTTAAGTCTGGAGTTTTTGGAGCGGGTGAGTGGTGAGAGTGAAAATGGAAAGAGAAGTTTCCACGGGGTATGGGTTTTATAGAAGATGAAGAGGACTGCTTGGAGAAGGAGGACGTAGTATTGGTGTTGGGCGAGGACTTGGGCTGGGTAGTAGTTTTCCTGCTGACTTTGCTTTGTCATTCCCAATAACGAGAATCAATGGTTTGGGCAGTGATTCATAATTTTGCAAGAGAGTCTGGTTTTCCAAGTCTGGTTTTCCAATGTGGGAGATTTTGTCCTTGATCCTCAAAGGGAGCCCTTTGTAGAACTGGTGAGAGTGCACCTTTGCCCCAACCTTGGATTTGGGAGGCGAGATGGTTGAATTCAACCATGTACTTCTTTACACATTGGTTCTTGCAAATGTAATGTAGGTATGGAGTTCCATGCGGACAATTATCTAGCAAGAGGAAAATATATGTGTGAGGAGTGTATCATAAGGTCTAACTACAGAGTCTACGAGGAATACTAGAAGATGCAAGGAGAATGTATGGCGGACTAGAAGTTCGGTGCAGGAGTATCAGAGCGGACAACCGGAACATAATCCCGAGTATACCAATAGTTTGGGGGTTTTGGGCTCGGAGATGCCGGAGTTCTGTCTTCCGGAACGGATATGACACCTTTCCAACCTCAAGCAGCTTGTCACTATTGGTGAAATGGCACTTGGTTGGCAACACAGTCTATGTTTCTTAGTTGCAGGTCAATCTACTTGGTGAGGTAAGCTTTTATTGTTAGTATTTCGATTTGCAAACTTCCTCTGTCTAAATGGGTGTTGGGAATCTGATGGCGGCCCAACACCTATAATAATGGGCTTTATGGATTTGAGTAGCTGAGCTGTAAGGATTATTAGATAAATAAAGGCCAGTACAACAATAGTAATACATACCTTGCATGCAAGGCTTAGACTTGAAATATAAACATTGAGGTCCTTCACCTTGAAGGCTCCTGACAAGTTTTCTCTGTTCTGATATAATGAGGTCAGATAGTCCCTTTGGCTTGGCAGTGGTAGCATGTTTTGTGCCAGGGAGTAGAACATTATGCGGCCAGTTGTAACAAACCAACCTGCACTCTACAAGCTCACCAGCCATCCATTTCCAAGGGAAAAACTTGCCTGATGCAAAGTGGTGGCCAAGATCCTCTAGCGTATGGGATGGGTGAGTGACCAGTTCCTCACACAGTCATACAATACTTACTAAGCTTGTAAGCATTTAAATTAGGCTGAGGTCATCAATAACCACACCTGTGCTACCCTTATGAGCCTCCTGGAGACCTTGGCTGATTGAATCTTTGTCTGGCATAGCATTGTTCATTGTACTATTTTCATCTGGATGGATGAACACTCCAAGTTCCTCTCCAAACCCCACTCCAATTTTGGGCCTCACGACCCCACTGGAGACATGGAGTCTCAAATTAAGCACCTCCAGGAGTTACTCCTTACAAGCTCCTGCTCCCCTGACAGTATATAAGCTGTAACTCCTGTACTCCGTTCCTGCAGTTTGAATATCAACTAGATTCCCTTGCTTTCTTATCAGTTTTTTTCTAAGTCCTTTCCGATCCTTCTCCAAAGAATCTTTACTCTGCTCCTTTTTCATCCTCTACTTCTCCTCTGTCCACTCCCAATGAGCTAGGGACCAACATCCATGGAAGGGTCTAGCGCACGAGCTAAGCCAATTCCCCAACTTGTCCTCTGTACTCTGTTACTCTGCCCTCTGTACTCTGCAGCTCTGTTACTCTGAAGAGGCCATGGTTCTGACAAAAGGGTGGTGAGTGCAATTGTCCTTCTTTAAACAGATCCACTTGTCTGAAGGGACTGAAAGTTGAAATAGTCATTGAATATTGCCCTTCAGAAGCCAAGAAGGCCAACAAACGCAAATATGAACCCATGAACGGCCTGGAGATGGAGGATAAATGTAGGGATTACAAGTCAGAAGGTTCCAACGCCAGCTATGAGAATGAGGGTCCCTACAACAAGCACAAGGCCAAAGGCTTGACATCTAGGCATGCAGCTGGGAAGTGTCCCCGTTTTTTGAGACCTCAGCTGGAAAAGGTGGCATGCATGGCAATAAGGTCAGTATCAAAGGCAAAAGGCCGTGCAAAATCTCCCAGAGTTGCCCAACTTTCCTCTCATGGTCTCCCTGTTGACCGCTATAACAATGTTACACTCACCCTCTTCTGATACCTCATTAAAATCATCTCTGGTGTCCTCTCATGCATCAGCAGGGCAAGTGCGCTCTTCTGAAAAGCAAGCCAGTTCATTGCTAAGGGACACAGTGTCTTCCACTCACCCCCACATTGGCATATTACTATCATCTCAGGTGTCCTCCCTTGCAGAAACACAGCAAGTGCACACTTCTGGAATGCAAGCGAGTTCATTGCAAAGGAATACCATGTTTTCTATCCGCTTGCACATTGATGTCTCACCAACACCCCCTTTGTGAGCCTGAAAAGAATTGTTTTCAACACCCAATTGCATGCCAAGCAATCAAGCATCTCCTTCTGGAAGACAAGTCAGTTCATCATCAAGAGATGCAATGTCCTTGGTTCATATTCATGTCGATGCCCCACCGCCACCTTTGTGAGCATCAGAAAACCCATTCTCTGCACCTGCTATATATAACAATTTTCACTGAGCTCAAGATGGCGCTATGGCTACCCCTCTGCCTATGGGATGGATGGCTCTTATCATAGCGCCAGCGCTCTGTTCCCTTAGGGAGATGCTTATAGGCAGAACCCAGTGGTGTACCAGGACTCTGGTATGTTGTCTTGACCTTTTGGTGAGGCTTATCATGGTAGGGACATGGGTCCAATGAATAGGATGGATGGTGTGGGTAAATACTCAAGTATTGGTAGTAGAGGACATGAGCCCCCCCAGTTTATTTGAGGGTCAAATGGTGGCTGTCCTTACCATGAAAGCATGGAGTGGGTACTTCCATATCCCTCTGATTATCAAGGGTCCCTTACTGGCCATATACTTGAGTTTGAACATGCAGAGTGGCCTGCACATTCTCGGGAGCATAGAACTACTGGTGACATGCTGGAATCCACAAATGACAGACACTCTGCCCTTGGTAACCAGCTTGCTGTTGACCAACCACCCTTTAGGTATCATTTTGTTATTATTTTGTCTCACATCTAACCCTCATAGCCATGTTATGTTATTGCTACAACTATGTACAGTGTAACTCTGGTCCTTGACACACAAGATGTAAATGTGTGGATAAAAGTAATACCACTTTGATTGCTGTACTTCAAGTGAGCTAGGCTTTGACACACCAAGCATAACCAACTTTTGTCACACCCAAAATTGATGAAAAAGCCTGAAAGTAGTTAGAGTATTTAATTGTATTTTGGACCTATAAGATTTTGTCAGAATACTGTATTTTTGTTGACATAATTCTACATTTCCACACAACACATAATATCAATGGAAATATGTGAACAAAAATACAGTATTCTGACAAAATCTTGTAGGTCCAAAATACAATCAAATATTTTAACTACTTTCAAGCTTTTTCATCAATTTTTGTGACAAAAGCCAGTTATGCATGGTGTGTGAAATCAGACTGAAATATATTACATTATGGACTAGAAATCATAAGTTATGCATTCATAAGCCTCATCAGGATGCAAAGAAATATGAAGGTATCATTGTCACTTCAAACAAGTCCTTGACACAGTGTGACGGACACAATAAATTCCTTTTTTGGTCATGTGACAAACACAACCACTTCTGTTGTCTGCTGAGAGTTGTGCTTTGCTGTACTAGCAATCTTCCGAGTCACTGCTATCACTGTCACTGTCTCCTTGTGCTGGAATGCTCTCTATTTGCTGCTGGACAATATTCTTCCTCCGTGGCCTTGTGGGCTTCTCTGGCATCTATTTTTTTGGTAAGCCCTCTTCAGTCAACTTTTCACACTCTAACTCCCATCTTGCCATAGCACCAGTGTGTTTTGCAAGTTGTCTCTGCCACTCCTTCTCCATGGCTCCCTTCTCCAAATGTTGGGCTTCTTTCTTGGCTCTCCTGGTTTCCTTGCAGTCTTTTTATCCCTCTTTTGTTGTTCTGTCTGCTCAACCTCAAGAATAAATTCATCACTAGTCAAATGTTGGCCCCTTGCCCTGAGAAAACAGCTTGGTGCATTCATTCTCCTTCCAATTCTCTTTTGCATAGAGGGCCTAACCTTGTTTTATTGTGAAAACATCTTGGATTACGAGCTGAGCATGGGCTCCCTCAATGATTGTATCCCGGCCTTGTACATGTTGTTTAGCAAGCATTAGACTGTCCCGAGGTTTTGAAGCATATAATTTCAGGTCATTGTGCAACATCTTAGATACAGAGGCTGTAGGAGCTACGAGGGACCACTTGGAAATTGGTATATCTGGTGGGCCTTTGAGAACAGGTTTTGTAATCAGACTGGAAGAGGTAACTAGAGCCTTTGACACAAAACAGCTCCCAGATGCTGTTTTTGCCAGGCTAGCAGTCATGATCCGAACTCGTTTTGAGGGAGAAAAAAGTGCTGGATCAATGCTATCATCAAGTGGTGCATTTTGGGTGATGTCGGGTGGGAGTCTGGATTTCCGGAGGATATGATAGGCCTGTAAGTGCCTAGTGAGGTTTCTAATGATGTTGGCTGATGATATTGGTACACTGCCATGATGGCCCGTACAGGACTTGCTTGTTGCATAGGGGATGATCCTTTCACATATGTAGCTTCACTTGGCTTCATCTGTGAAGTAGATATGACACTCCGGTTGAATAAAAAGATGCCAGTAGCTGCAAATGAGGAGCAGACAACCTCAGGAGTGAAAGCATGTAAGAAGGTTCTGCCAAACACTCCTGTGAAGTCAGCAGTGGTAACTTTATGCTTTTCTTGCTTTCAAAAATTTTCACCTCATCTTTCCAGGCAGTATTGTAGATGGCGAAGCAGATAACATCTAGACCCTGTAGAGCATGGGTTGTGTGAGGCGGGTAGGCAAGTATTTCAACCTTGTTTCCGTGAGCATAACAAAGCAGTGCTGATATGTGATGAGAGGAGTGTCCGTCAAGGAAGAGTATCCAAGCCTGGCCATTTGCTTTTTCTCTTGTCTTTATGTTAAAGTCTTGAACCCAATACAGTCCAAGCTGGCCATCAGTCCAGCCATTTGGTGATGCAGCAATCCTAGTGTCGGTGAGTTGATGTGGCTAATTTCTGGCACATTTGACTTAAGATCTATTTGCTATATTGTTATTCCCCCACTTTTTCATAATATTCTTGCCCTTGAAAATGAGTGTGGGCTACACTGTTGTGCCATGCACACACAGTTATGATTGCAGTGACATTCCCATGATCTCCACTGCCCTGCTGACATTGCCATTTTGCTCCCTTTATCCCAACTACTTGGCGAGTGCCATGATCAGATGGCATATTGCCTGTTTCATCCATACCATAGATGTTTTTGATAAAATTGGATAATGACCAGACCAGGGATTGAACCTGGAACCTTCTGGATACATGCCAGCTGCTCTACCAATTGAGCTATATGGCCAAGGTTATGCAATGTAGGATCTTAAACATGACATGCAACCACAGACGTCTTACACAGAATAGCTGCTGCATACTGGGCTGGCTTACAAATCAGAGGTATTATCCTATGGAATATTGGTATGTCAGAGTATATTCTAACAGTTTTTAGGGTTGATCTTCTCTCCATCTGGCTGGAGGACTAGGTGAGCTTCCACTAGATCAAACCAACACTCAACATTGGGTGGGTTGATCATTGAGTTGAGTGGTCAGGACCAGTGAATGTGTACTTGTGTAAGAAATCTTGATGCCCAGTGCTCCCTGACTAGTTCATAGTCATCTCCATATTTGGATTTCAAAACCATGTTGGCCTTCTGGCATAGTTCTCCCAGAGTCAGTGGGAATCCTTGAGCAGCAGATTCAAGAAGGTAATTCACAAGAACAGATAGCCTACACATGGCATTCCGTTCAAACGCTCACGTTCCCATACTGTAAATGGTATACAGACTAAAGCCAGATATTGTTCACAGCCCGCTGGAATTAATTCATATGGTTCAGACAAACCAAATTATATACTTTGGCTTATACACACCATATGAATGCTACCTGATATGGGCTGTGAAAACTATATCCAAAAGTAATAATATAGTTGCATAAACCTGTACTTAGATAAACTTTTTACTAGAACTATACTGTAATGCAACAATTTGGTTTTCCAAGACTATACCATGGAAACAGGGTATTAAAACCATACCATAGTGATATGAATATATACAACTATACTTTGATAAATGGTGTGGTAAAACCATACTGTAATACACTGCTATAGTTGCATAAGACTGTATCTGGGTAAACAGTGTATCAAAACTATACTACAGTATAGTAATATGGGTGTATGGGACTGTACTTCAGTAAACAGTATATTGAAACCATACTATAACATACTACCTACTATGGTCATATAAGACCATACCTTAGTAAACAGTGTATCAGAACTATACCATAGTACAAGACCATATTTTAGTATATAGTATATTAAAACTATACTGTAAGATTACTACTATGATCATATAAGACTATACCTTAGGAAACAGTATTTCAGAACTGTACTGTAGCATAGTAATATGGTTATATCGGACCATACTTCAGTTAACAGTATATTAAAACTATACTATAATACACACTATAGTTTCATAGGACCATACTTTAGTAGACAGTGTATCAGAACCATATCATATTTAGATTATATGGTTTCACAAGACCATACTTCAATAAATAGAATATAGAAACTATATTGAATTTGGGTAATATGGTTGCATAAAACTATACTATGATAAACAGTTTATAAACACTATACATGTTTTTTTTTAGTATGGTTTTGATATACCATTGCAAATGTTATGGTTATATAATACTATATCAATATGGTTGCAGAAAACTAAACTAAAATAAACATGTATAAAAATACAAACACAGGATTTGAACTTAAGACCTCATAGTATTGCAAGAGCAAGACAACCAGATTTAACCACTACACTATTACCATTATATATATTGTCTAAATATTATATGCTATAAGCCTATAAAGTTGTCTAGTTTTAATGGACTTAGAATAATTTTATGAAAAAGTGCAGCAATATAGTTTCCCCACACCATATCCAAACAGTATTATAGCACCATACTACTTATATGGTTTCTCAAAACTGTAATAATAGAATAGTGCACAAAAACCATTTCACACAATATAGTGACCTAAAACCATATTATTGTATAGTTGTCAGATACTGTTTCAGATATAGTTTCTACAAACCATATTGGTAAAAAGTAATATAGTGGTATAAAACCATATCCTAACCAACAAGTAGGTATAGTTTCTCTAAACCATAATAATCTACTTGTATAGTTTATACACACTATACAGGTACTTTTATACATTTATTTAAATATCTTGAATATCATTTCTATTCATCTTGTGGCTCAGTGGTTTAGTTGTCTACTCAAATTATTGACTGACCGCAAGGCCTTTGGTTCAACTTTTGATGGTGGCAATTTTTTTGAAATGCAATGAGATAGTCTCTAGAAACCATATCACTGAATTAATTACAGCCGGCTGTGAATGCAATGTGGCTAAATGCTGTATATGTCCTAAAGTGGTAGACCGTGAGCGTTTGAACAGCCGGGTCTGCATCGCCTGTAACAACCAAGAGTTAGTTACTCTGGCGCACACAAGCACACACTATAAAGGTAGTGAATGGGGAGCGGTTACCCCTTAGGCTGCAGAGAGTTTGTTGGTTAACAACAGGAGGACTTGCTGAGGAATCTCCTTGATCTATTGGGGTATTTATACTAATACAGAGTGTTTGTACCTATGTACTGTATAGTTGATAAAAGCAGTGGCTGACAATGTCAGAGGGTGCAGCCCGTGTGATCAGCTCCACTGCATGAGAGAATTTGTGTCTAAAAGAAGAATAAAGGCAGTGTCATGCGAGAAAGTAGAGTTAGAACAAAAAGGAAAGTGCCGCATGGCGCGGAGTGTGAGCTATAGTAAAAGGTTAAGGCAAAGAATGAAAATTAAAGGAATGGTCCAAAAATTGTGTTATCGTAACACTACCCCCTTCTAAGGCTCAACTTCCAGGCAAGACCAAATACCGGAGGTGGTAGTCAAAATTTCAGGCATAGTTTGAAAAAGAGAATTATAAAGTTTTGAATCCATGCCTCTAAGCTTCCTAGGAGCTGAGGGATTCTTAGAATAAAATTTGCGAACCGCGTTGCGGGAATTGTCTAGATGGGCTTCTGGTTCCCACATTCTGTCCTCATCTCCATATCCCTTCCATAGGACTAGGAATTCTAGTTTTCCACGCTTCAAGTGTGCGTCTATCACCCGTTCAACTTCAAACTCTTCTTCACCTTCCTGGGTGACTACAACCGGTCCGGGCCGGTCTAGGCGCTGTCCCAGCAGCGGCCCTTTGTAAGGTTTCACATGACTAATATTGACCGTGGGTACTACCTTCATTCGTTTTGGGAGTTCCAGCTCCATCACATTAGGTTTGACTTCCTTATTCCGGTATGAACCAATCCACTTTTTGGTCAGTTTTCTAGACTGCCGATCTTTTAACTTTAAGTGGTTGGTATCTAACCAGACTAGGTCGCCGACCTTGTAATCAGGGGCCTTAGAGTGTCTACGCTTTGCCCTGTTCTTCATCTGCTCTGCAGTTTTGCATAGCGCCTTGCATGTTTCGTCCAAGACAGATTTCATGTCCTTGGCCATGTTCTCAGCCGCCTTGTTCTTGCTTTTGCCAGGTTCTACACCCATTCTGGGGAGGTACAATCTAGTAACCTCAAATGGTGCCTTTCCCGTAGCCGATGACTGTTTCATGTTATAAGAGAACTGGGCTATCTTTAGCCACTTGGCCCAATCTGTCTGCCTGTCATTAATAAATATCCGGAGATATTGTTTCAACTCCTGGTTCAGTCTCTCCATTTGTCCATCAGTCTGCGGATGGAACACCGTTGATAATTTAGGTTTGATGCCCAGCATCTGGCATAATTCTTTCGTAAATTCGCTAGCGAATTGTGGCCCTCTATCGGAGATAACTGTTTCTGGTAATCCATGGATAGACCATACAAAATCATTAAATAAATCAGCTGTACCAGTGGCAGTAATAGTTTTGTTGGTGGGTATGAATACCACTTCTTTGGAGAAGCGATCTACTACCACCATTACTGAATCATACCCATTTGACTCGGGCAGATCCGTTGTGAAATCAACCGATATATCCTGCCAGGGACCAGCTGGTATCGGATTCAGCATAAGTTTACCGGCCGGCGGTTGATGAGAATTCTTAGCCATGGCACACAGACAGGATTTTACGTATTCCTGTACGTCTTTGACCATGCCAGGCCACATATAGTTTCTGGAGATCAACTCCATTGTTCATTGCCACCCAGGGTGCCCAGCCACCGGAGTGTCATAATGTCTATCTATTGCCTTGATCCTTGCGGACTCAGGCACATATATGTTGTTTTTAAAATGGAAGAGCCTGTCTTCCCATAAATAGTTTTCATTGCCATCAAGGCGTGCCTTCTCTTGTGAGGAGATGTCTTTCTTGAAGACTTCCAAAAGATTGGAATCCTGCCTGATTCTAACATTGGCAACCCTTGATTGGTTTATCAGGGTAACACCTTTGTTGTCATCTTCGATGCCGTTGGCATGATCCTCTCTTCTGGACAAAGTGTCCGCTTTCCCCATAGAGCTTCCAGGCTTATGAATTAATTTATAATGAAACCTTGACAAGTATACCGCGTAGTGGGCCTGTCTTCGGTTCAAGTCTCCGGCTATCATAAAATACTCCAGATTCTTATGATCAGTCCAAATTTCAAATTGGTGTCTAGCACCTTCTAAGTAGTGCCGCCAGTGCTCTAAGGCTCTAATGACGGCTAGCATCTCTTTGTCGTAAATTTGATAGTTGTGCTTTGTAGGCAACAAACTATGTGATAAATAGGCACAAGGCCTCCAAAGATTGTCAGGGCATTTAATTGACAAAACAGCCCCAGTAGCAAAATCAGAAGAGTTGGTTTCTAGCCGGAACTCTTTGTCTAATTCTGGAAATACTAATATGGGCGCTGTTGTAAATGCCTGTTTAAGCTTATCAAAAGCTTCTTGTTCTTTGGCGCCCCAGTGCCAAACGATATCCTTTTTAGTGAGATCGTTCAACAGTCTCGTGATTTTTGTGAAGTTTTTGATAAACCTTCGGTAGAAATTTCCTAAGCCAAGGAAGGCCCTAACTCCTTTGATGCGAGTAGGTTCTGGCCAGTCCAATATAGCTTGAAATTTCTCAGGATCCATCCTGATTCTGTTCTGGCCTATGATCATACCGAGGAAGTCTACTTCCTTTACCTTAAAATTACATTTTTTGGGTTTGACAAATAGGTCCCGTTCCTGTAAGCGTCAAAGGACTTCTTGCACAATCCTGTCATGCTCAGCCTCATCATCTAACTTCGTAAATATCAACAAATTGTCAATGTAAATGACGACACAGTTTTCCATATCTGCAAAGATCTCCTTCATCATGCTCTGGAAGGTTGCCGGTGAGTTGGTCAACCCAAAGAACATAATGAGGGGTTTGGAGGATCCTCGGTGGCACGTGAACGCGGCCTTCCAAGCATCTTCTTCTTTAATTTGTACATTATTGTACCCCCATCTGAGATCCATCTTTGTTAAGATTTTGGCACCAGCCAATTTGTCTACTAGCTGACTGATTAAAGGCAGCGGATACACATTTTTAACCGTGTGCTCATTCACGTAATGATAGTCCATAATCATACGCTTCTTACCATCCTTTTTAGGAATGAAGAACACCGGGGACGTCATAGGGCTTTTGGAAGGTCTGATGTAACCCTTCCTAAGCTGTTCGTCTATGAAACTTGACACCTCATCTCTTTCTGGAGCAGAGAGTGGTATCATGTGTCCTTTTCTCGGTTTGAAGGTGTCCTATAAATCTATAGCATGGTCCCAAGGCTTAGCCTCTGGGAAGCGCTCTGATTTATGTTTTGAAAAGACTTTCCAGAAATCATGGTACTCGGGAGGTATCAGCCTCTTAATCTCTTCTTCGGGTTTTACCTCATCATCGTCATCGTCAATCTTTTCTAAAAATCTGAGCTCATAAATGTGACCAGCGTTTATCTTCTCAAGACGCTCATTGTGACGGACATGATTTGGTTTACCCAAGTTCACACACTCCCGAGGGCAACGTGACAATGTGATAACCCCTGTCTGCCAGTCAATCTCAGGATTGTGTTTGAATAGCCAGGTCCAGCCCAAGATTAAATTAATCTTCCCTAGTTGGGTAGCTTTGGCAGTGACGTGTTCCCTGTGTCCTTGGTACTCGACAACAAAGGAACATTTGTGTGTGATACAGCCACCTGCGTTAAGCGTACCGTCAACGTTATAGACGGGAATAGATACATCTAATTTTACAAGGGGGGCCCAATTTGCTCCGCCCAGACCTGATCTATGAAGATTCCGTTAGTGCCTGAATCAAGCAGTGCGCTGGTTGGGTGTTCTATGCCCCGGGCAAGGTTTTCCACACCAACGTCTAAATGGATCTCTTTTTGGAATAAATATGTGCGCATCAACACACACTTTGGGATTTTGGGAAAGGGTGGCTGCAATGAAGAAGAAGAGGTATCAAAAGCTACATGTTTTTCTATTTTATTTTTACCAGAATCAAGCACCCTATTGTTTGTCTCGCCGGGGCCGCGCTCCAAAGGAGACGCTGGTACAGTGGTGGCATTGTAAGTATTACAGTCACAATGCTTCATACAAGTACATATTTCAGATAACAAATTTAGAAATCTATTTACAAATTGGGGAGCCACCCCTTTCTTTCCATTATTGCTTGTGCAACACCCCGGAGCAGGGGCCACTTTGTTGTGGTTTACTGCATTGTTTTGTGGAGCGAAGGCACCCAAGTGACCTAAGCTCCAAACTCTTTTCCCTGGGTCTTTATTTCAGTGACCTGCTGGTCGTAAAAGAAGGCCCGGATCTCGTTGTATGAACGACCGGCCAGAGTCTGGAGCCAATCGTCCGGTTTTTCTGTTTCTAATTGGCGCGCCTGTCGCCCTTGGTTATTTTTTTTGTTGGGCGGCCTGCGCCCCTTTTCTGCAATCTTGGGACATGTGTCCCTCTTGGCCACAGTTGTAACAGTTGCCCTTGAATCTGCGCATCTGTCCGCCTTGGACTGCACCAATATCCATAGGAGCACCCTGTCCTGGCTGCAGCCGGAACAGTTTGAACCTGTGAGAGTGTTTATGGTGGTTTGATGACCCAGGGTGCCTCTGGGGAACATTGTTTTTGGTGGTGGACCCGCCACCAAATAGCATATCGTAGAGCTCTATGGCCCTACCAATTTTTTGAACCTCCTCAGCAGCTGCTGCAAGGTTCTCACTCCGCATATCTTGTATGTAGAGCTGTCGGGCAATAACCGGTGATGCATTGCGCTCCAACAACTCTACTGCATGTTCATTGCCTAGACCCCCTTGGATGGAGAAGGCCAGGAACCGGGTAACAAAGTCATCCATCCTCATGTTTCCTTGTTTGAAGGTACGGATTTGCTGACGCACCAAGTCATGCTCAGCTTGGGGTTTGAAGTATTTTTTGATCTCGACTTTGAGATCATCCCAAGTAGGCCACACTCCCGCTGTACAGCACTCCTGCATTCTTACTTGGGCGTATCGACCCGCCACAGGTCCTTTCAGTCTTGACAGCACAGCCGTCGCTATTTCAAAATCATCAGCAAACACATCCTTCGCTTTGATCCAAATCTGGAGCTTGATCCACCATTCGGCAAATCGCGCCCTATCTCCTTGGAAAGCGCTGGGGTCAGCGACAATCTCGACTTTCTTGTTGAACTTTCGCTCAACCATAGATTTTGCTGCTGGGGCAGCCTGAATCTCGGTGAGCTGATTTGTTAACGCCTGAATCTGTGTACGCATGTTGTGCAGCAGACTGTTTATATCTGGTTGCGACAACATGTTGACTTGTTCTCTTTGGTAATGTAAAAAAAAGGTAACTGGGGGTTCCTGCTTGCTATCTGCGGATCAACCTCTTCCCAGCTGAGTATTGGATCTCAATCTCCGACTACCCACACTATAGTATTTGAAAAAGTATATAAAAAGTATTCGTAATAAACCCTGGTCCAAACAGTTGTCAGGGGTGGTCCGCTTGTTAAGCTGTCAACCCTTCTCCAGACTGGCGGAGCCAAGTGCCCGGCCTGGTCAGAGGTATTTGAAGAAGAAGTTTTGTATTTCTAAATTTAATCAACAATAGTGTGCACACTATTGTTGATCTACAGTACTCCCCTTCACGCTGGGGTCCGCGTATTAAAGGTATTGTTTCTTCTCCCAAAGCACTACAAGGCCGTCGTGAAGAGCGCACCTATCTGCTATACGGGATATTCCCAAACAATAACCAACTCTCCTTCACCCTGGAGTCCAGGTGCCCAGTGGGACTTTTTGCACAACGTGCAAGAGAGTAGAAGAGCGAGTCCTAATGTAACAACCAAGAGTTAGTTACTCTGGCACACACAAGCACACACTATAAAGGTAGTGAATGGGGAGTGGTTACCCCTTAGGCTGCAGAGAGTTTGTTGTTTAACAACAGGAGGACTTGCTGAGGAGTCTCCTGGATCTATTGGGGTATATATACTAATACAGAGTGTTTGTACTTATGTACTGTACAGTTGATAAAGTCAGTGGCTGATGATGTCATGGGGCCTAGCCCGCATGACCAGCTCCACTATGTGAGAGAGTTGTATTTAAAATAAGAAGAAGGCAACGCGGCGCGAGAAAGAGAAGTTTGATCAAAAGGGGAAGTGCCGCGTGGCACCATGTATGAAAGCTACAGTATACAAGGTTAAAGCGGAGAATGAAAAGAAGGAAAGGTCCAAAAATTGTGTTATCATAACAAGTTTCAGTTTCCACTTCAACTTTCTTTCTCTTTTGGGCATTTTGTGCCATGCGGCACTTTCTTTTTGTTTCAAACTCTATTTAGGACTTTCATTTTCTCGTGCTACGCAGCTTCCTTTTATTTTTAGTAACAACTCTCTCACATGGTGGAGCTGATCTCAAGGGCTATGTACTGTACAGTTGATAAAAGCAGTGGCTGATGATGTCAGAGGGCACAGCCCGTGTAATCAGCTCCACTGCATGAGAGACTTTGTGTCTAAAAGAAGAATAAAGGCAGTGTCATGTGAGAAAGTGGAGTTAGAACAAAAAGGAAAGTGCCGCATGGCACGGAGTGTGAGCTATAGTAAAAGGTTAAAGCGGAGAATGAAAATTAAAGGAAAGGTCCGAAAATTGTGTTATCGTAACATTGCCTGCCCCCACAAGAACATCCTCCTCTACTGAGGTCAGCTTTTGCTTGGTAATATTAAAGTCAGACATAGCTGTTCCTCTGTCGTAAAGTCTTGATAGAGTCCTCCATCCTATTATTGGATTTAGCCATGTGAGCTCACATAGCCACCTGATCACAGGGAGTGCATAAAAGCAAAGTGGACCAGCCAGGGATGTACTCCAGGACTCTGCCTTTATATGGTGGTGCTCTAACCAACTGAGCTACCCAGCTCTTATACTAATGTCAACTCATGATGTATGTTGTCTAACAAGGCTAACAGGCTTTGACCTTGACTATTCCAACACCTACTCCACATTGCTTTTCAATTGGCCAAACACCATAACCCTCTCCATTTGGTTTTATCTTCTCAAGACAATATGCATGAAGAGTTTGTGCCATTTTCACATCACTTTCTTCATGTTTGGTCTTCTTCTTTGATGTAATAGACTTTGTGTAGTTGACCATTTGAGCTTGAATGGGCTCTATGTTTAGATAAACGAAGACAGTGTGATTTTAGAAGCACAGAAACAGTGCATGAAATGATCCAGATATGGTAAACTAAATTCTCACAGTATCTCAGTCTTGTCACGCTCAAACAGCTGATTGCACTGGCAAGTATTCTCATGTGCTGCATATGTTACAACACCACCTTCAGTGGGCCAGAAGTCTACTCTATAATAAATTTAATACAATACTTAATGTGTACTATATATGCCCCTTTTTTGCTCAAAAATACTTCATACAGTTTGATCAGATCACCTGGAGCACTCTATTGCTTGGGAAATAAGAGATTACATACTGACTTACATGCTATAAGATGGATGACACAAGTTAAATCACACTGTGTCAAGGACCGGTGTTACACTGTATACTGTAACAACCAAAGTTTGTATACTCTGGCGCACAACATGACAGGCAGAGAGTGGTGAGTGGAGGAGAGGATCATCTCCCTTAGGGTAGGACCAATTTTGTTATGGGTAAATAACAGGAGGACTCGCTGAGAAGCCTCCTTGATCTATTGGGGTATCTACAGACTATTTGTAGATGTATACTATACAGTTGATACAGGCAGTGGCTGATGATGTCATAGTGCGCAACCTGTGTGACCAGCTCCACTGCGTGAAAAACTTTGTAGCTAAAAATAAAGGAAAGCAGTGCAGTATGAGAAAGTGGAGTTTGAACAAAATGGAAAGTGCCACATGGCACAGCATGTGAAAACTACAAAAGTAAGTTAAAGTGGAGAATGAAATTTAAAGGTCCCAAAGTTGTGTATTGTAACATATACCATGTTTTGTATATTAGTTGATAAATTGGTATGTTTGAGTTCTTTGTCCCTTGTGCTTGAAGGATCAGTAGCTCTGGCTTGAGGCTCATGTTGAGGCTCATCTGCAGAGCCTTGTAAAATATCATGTCTTACAAGAAGCAAAAAAAAACATATGGCTTTGACAAATGGGGGCCCAAAAGATTACAGTTGCTCCGGCTGTGTGTTTTGGATAAAAATTCAAACAGTACCCCCACTGACATCTTTGGAAAGGTGCCAAAAATGAACACATCTTCTCAAAGGTTGAGCCTCTCCAAGTAGGAAGTCACAATCCTCTACATATCAATTTGAAAAGGTTCTGTCTACATAATGCTCAAATAACCACGATCCTGAGTGTAATCCTCTTCCAAGAGCCTGTCTCTTAGATGCAATCAGCTCTCCAAGGAAACCCCATCTGACAATGTGTGGGAACCCCCGGAATGTGCTGCCAAGGGTGGAATTTCCTAATAGAACTACAGAGGAGTACAAAATATAGTACAGCAGTCTTGATATGCAAGTGAAAAAGGTATTTACATTGTTTAATTTATTGAAAGACAAAGCCATCAATTATGCTAAATAACATTACATAGCCCCATGAAGGATGTGCGGCACAGGCCACCAAAGAGCAGGTGTGCAATATGATTTACACTATGCTGTGTCTAGCTCACAATGATATCATTTGTAAAGAAAGCTGCTGCTGCAAACTTGCCTGAAAACAAAACTGTAGACTAAGCTTGGGTGTCTGCTCCGAGTCAATGTAGAAACTATCACCTCAGTTGTAGCCAGACCAACTGATGTTATCTGTACCTAGGAACAATTACCACTTTGATAATAGCATATCAGCGTAAGGATAACAATGAATAGAAAACCGGTAATGTACCCTCAGTTTTAGCCAGACCAACTGAGGGGAAAAGTAGAATGAGAACAAATATATATGAAGAAAGTGATAAAACTAAGTGAAACTACAATAGATGTTAGTTTAAGGTGATCTCTAATAAATGTAATGTAACATACCTCAGCCGCTGCCTGAGAGGCTATAGAAACGACTGAGGTATTCCTATACTAAACCCCCTACTACTTATAGTCGGAGGTGCTACTTGCTACAGTATAATGACTCCTAGGAGAACAATGGTTACTCCATGGAGAACAATGGCTGCTTTGGCAGAGACCGGGTTTATCCGGTTTTGTCAGAAAGTAGAAAAAAGCCACGTGTAAGTTTGAATATATTGTTGTATCACAAACCCTATGTTTTCTATCCCAACAGTCAATACTGCTCCACCTCAATCTCTGGGCTTCCCTCTAATGTTCTAATCCCTTTGTTTCTTTCGGTAGCCATGTTTTTGTAATGAGAATATGTATTTGATAACACTATTTGAGCTGCATATAAGATTTGAGATGGATGACTATACAATCTACTGAAATCTTTTGAAATCTATTCCAAGTGAAAATTTCTATTCCACTTGATTTATTTAGATTTATTCTACAAAACTCACTTTTCTACTGAAATCGAGTCAAAACGGCACATCAGATGCCACCCGATTGCCCTCGATTTCCGTAGATCCGGTTTTCACTTGGATATATCAGCGCAAACCTGAGCTGGGGTCAACTCTGTAACAGAACGCTAGTCGCCGTGCTTTATTTAGTTAAGCTACTATGATTATACTGCTTATTATAGCACAAGCTTGTCACGAGGAACTGGATGACAATGACATGACGGAGGCTCGCTTCGTAGATCGAATCAACCCACGGCGTCGCCTGACAAAGGCGTGTGGGTTATCATATTCAGTGCGGTAAATTTTTTTAAGTACGAGAGCACCACAAGACAACATGGCGTAAGTGAAAAGTGAAATGAAACTCCCTGTCTAAACATGACAACGCTATTTCAGGGGGCTGTAAGGAAGTGGAAGGAGAACGAAAGAATCCATGAATTTGGCAAGTTGCGAAGTCTGTTTCCGGAAGTCTTTGGTCAATCATGCAGATGTACAAGATAGGATCTGTTCTACCTTGGACACTGTTTCTGCCCATCCGTCAATTTGCCAAGCCTTTTCACGCATTTCTTTCCTGGCTTCGAGGCTCCTGTGCCATACGTTAGGTCATGCACTATTAAATAGGGCCTCAAAATACCAAAGACCTACGGGTATTGCCACATGTGGTGAACTTGATGCAACCTTCCTATTTGCGAGAACCACGCACCGACCGGAGCGACAAATTTTCGACGTGCTTCGATGCCCTTCCGCCTGAACATGAGTAAGTCGCAAGATCAGGCATGAAATCACAAGCGGCATTAGGGACGCACCATGCATTCTCCCATTCAAGAAGAGTACCCGGTTTTAATTGGTAAGTTCGAAGTTCGAAGATACCACCCTGTGCATGTGGAGGCGACGTGGGGAAAAATGCGAATTCTTGAGTTAGCTGGGATGTACGAGATGTTACAGAAGGAAGAAGTTCTCTATAGGCATTTGCATGCTGGAGATAACAGTCAGGGTACGAAAGCCTCGAGTCCATTGCATCAGTACTCACATGAGTCTTCTTAATTAAAGCGGTGGTCTTATCATAGCCAGCATAATTCTCGTACTCGAGAATATGAACTTAACAAGAATGAGCGATAGTATAAATTCGTTAAAAGAAAAGAGCACCAAAAGCATCTTGGTCTCCAACAATAGTTTCCCAGCTGCCTGTCAACTTCACATGAAGTTCTGGATCATTCTTAATTCCGGCATAGTATTTGGCACTGTGGAGGGTTGCTTTAGTCTGTATATTGTTGGTGGTCACGACGAGAAAACGCACGCTGCATGTTTATAAACTTCAACCGCGTCTGGCTTCACTCTGTGAACTGTGATTCTACACCTATCAGCAAAATATAGCGAAGACATAGTTCTCTCCTTACAAACCTTCGAAGCCATGCACATATTTTCCCCGGGCAACTAACCTAGAATGTTGCTGTATGTCGACCTCTCCTGCTTCCTTGGCCTCGGGAGAACCGTGCAGTATTGACTGTTCGAATTTTATTTAAGAAGTAGGTCAACAGCTTGATCAAAGAAGGTCTAAACCAATACCTGAACGGAAATAAACCTCCGTGCCCTCGAAAGCGCAACTACACGTATAGTTGTATGGTTCACGATTCTGAGCATTGTCAGGGAGTCTACTAATTTAGAGAATCAGTGGGTTGCGGTAGTGCCAAAGCGGAGCTACACTAGTATCCCCGACTCTGAACTGTGGAGCGGGCATTCTCTCTGTCAGAGACTCCGCAATAAGCGCCGGGATCATGTGCCTTCCTGTTCCACCTGTGATTCCCACGCATTAGCCTTGCTACCTCTGGCTGATTGCCAGTGTTCAGGTCTTGGTTGTAGAGACTGTTGTGGAGGGTGTCTTAGCTGATCAGGTGCTCCCACTGCTCTTGGAATGTCTCCACGGAGGTATTTCCCCACTGCTCTCAGAACATCTTCATGCTGATATGGTTCCATTGCTTGTGGAACATCTCCTTGGAGATGTGGTTCCATTTGCAATTCATTTGGATCTCGGATCCGAGGGTCAGAATCATCCTCCTCCAATGTATTTTGGTCTGGATAGTGAGCATTCTCTGGAATGAGTCCCTCCCACTGATATGTGCTAGGGTCTGTGTTCCAGGGAGCAGTGTCGTCCTTTTGTACCTTTCCGGATTCATTGAACATAACATGCCGACTGGAAAACACAGTTCGTTTTTCAGTGTCTAGGAGTTTGTAGGCTTGCTTTCCATGTGTGTAGCCAATCATTATGGCTTTGCGCCCCTTGGAGTAAAACTTCCCTTGCCTTTTGTCTTTCAGAATCAAGGCATATGCTTGGCATCTGAAAGGGCAAAATAAAGTTGGATCAACTCTCCTTTTAAACAGTAATTCATATGGGGTCTTTCCATGGAGTCCTGATGCTGGGCTGCATGCTGTGATATATACAGCTGTTTGCATGGCATCTACCCAGAATGACTTGGGAGCTTGGAATCATGGAGCATAGTGGTTGCTAATGTAGCCAATGTCTGATACATGCTTTCTGCAATGCCATTTTGTTCCGGAGTATCTGCAGTTGTAGTTTCTTGGAGGACACCATCTCCTTGGAGTTGATATTTGAATGCATTGCCAGTATATTCTCCTCCCCCATCGCTCTGGAGGAATTCTGTGTACAATGGAGTGAAGTTCTCTTCTCCCAAATGAATTCGGAAAAATGTTTAACATATTTTTTCCATTGCTTGTATCATTCCAGTGCCTCACTTTTATGTTTTAGGAAATATATCCATGGAAATTTGGAAAAATCATCTACAATGATAATCCAGTACCAAAAACCCTCCCTGGAGGTTGGTTTGATTGGTCCTCCAACATCTGTGTGCACAATTTGTATGGGGTGCTTGGCTCGGTTTCCTCCAGTGGACTTGAAAGGTAATTTCTTCATCTTTCCTAAAGCACAAGGTTCACAGAACTCTGGGGTCCTGGTAAGGGTGTCTATGTCCTGGAGCTGTCCTTTTGTAACCATTCATTGCAAGCGGTGCATTCCAATGTGTCCCATTCTCCTATGCAATAAATTTACATCTACTGCTGCAAAAGCTGACTCCGGGTTGATTACAGGTTTTGCTTGGATGTGATAAAGCCCTCGCTTGTGTAAGGCAGTGAGGATAATTCCTTTCTTTTTCCGAACTTCACAAGCATTTGACCCTGCTGGAAAAAGTGTTGATAACCCTGTTTTGGACAATTTGTGGACAGAGACGAGTGCTAAAGTAAAGTTTGGCACAAGTAAGACATTTGACAGTGCAATATTGTAGTCCTTTTTGCCAACAGTTGCTTGTAGGATTACTGTTCCAATGCCAATAGCATTTACAGAGGATTCATCCCCAAAACTGATTGTCCTTGGAGGATGCAGAACATGGTATGTTCTTGGCTCAAACCAGGAGCGGTGAGGGACCATGTGGGATGTTGCTCCGGAGTCAATGATGATTGTTGTTTTGGTCTTATTGGGTTCCGACACAAGGTAAGCTTGAATGTGTTTAGCAAGGGGCTTGGAAATATGTACATGTTCCAATGCAATATGACTCTATTTCTCCTTAGAGTCAGATCCAGATGATTGCTCCGCCATATTTGCCTTTTCCTTTGCTTTTCTTTTATCCTTGTGTTTTTTTTCCTTTTCCTTCTTCTTTTGACCTTTTCCAGCTGACTGAAGTGTTCAACACTCCGAGGTGTTGTGTGATTTGACTTTGTGGAAGTCACACCACTTCTCCTCGGACTTGAGTGCTGATTTGGAACCTCCAGGGGCCTTTCCTGACTATTGTGCAACTTCTGCAGTGATCCGGATCTCAACTGTATCAAAGGTAAGTTTATTTTCTTCAATCGTGTTGATTACCAATGACTGAAATATTTGCCATTCAGGAGTGCATGGGAGAGATTGGAGAAGAGAAAAGGCCATGAGTTTGGCATCAACTCGTAGTTTCATTCTGGAGAGGTGTGAATCAATTGTCCGCATTTTCAAAATGTGGTCCTGGATAGGTGATGTCCCATCCCAGGATAATTTGGTGAGTTGCTGGAATGAATAGAAGGCTAAGGCAATGTTGGACGTCTGTCTGATGGAGTGAGTCAAGTTTATCAAATAACTCCTTGGAGCTGGTGAGGTCTCCAGTCCTCATGAGGAGGGCATCAGAGATATGATCCTGGATGATTCCATGTGCCTTTTCATCCTTAAGTATCCAGGTGATTTCAGGATCCTCCAAGGAGGTAGGCTTTCCTGGTGAGGGCTTAAGCTCCTCTCCAGTAACAACTTGGAGAACCTTTTCCCGACGTAGCTTTGAGATGATCTGGAGTTTCCATATCTGGAAATTGTTGGGTCCAGTGAGAACTGGACATGCGGATGTATTGTGTGCTGTGGTCATGGTTCCGAGGTTGCCGTTTCAAATAAGAATTATTTCCTGCGTAGCTTTCGCGCCACCAGGGCCCATAACCTAGTAAATCTAAGTGAAACTCAGCCGCTGCTTAAGAGGCTATAGAAACAACTTTATTATATACCTAAGTGAAACTACAATAAATGTTAGTTTAAGGTGATCTCTAATAAATGTAATGTAACATACCTCCGCCACTGCCTAAGAGGCTATATAAACGACTGAGGTATTCCTATACTAAACCCCCTACTACTTATAGTCGGAGGTGCTACTTGCTACAGTATAATGACTCCTAGGACTACAATGGTGACTCCATGGAGTGGTGGCTATTCTCCATGGAGAACAATGGCTGCTTTAGCAGAGACTGGGTTTATCCGGTTTTGTCACTATTCTCGTGGTGTGGATTCGGCAGCCGCACTCAAAAGGACCAACAACCCGGAATGCCACGTGTCTGAGTCTAGAGTCATTGCTGTACATGTCAGCACCTCCTGGCATTGCAGGAATATCACGCCCATTACGCAACACTGTGACGTTCGAAAGATTTGAGCTCGTTGTCTGACACAGCGAGCTTGAGAATGTCCTTCTTAGCATAGATTTTATATTGTTCTTGTACACTTTGCACCTTTATCCAATGAACATGGAGACAAAGACCAACTTTGAGTGATTGGAGAGAATATAGTAACATGTTCCTTAAGATTGAGCAATATGAGATTTGGACATTGAGAAACACCGTAGATCAAGTAAAGGAATTGTGTGATGACCAGGGAATAAAAATAAGGATTCGTAGGAAAGGTGAAGAGGATAGGGCTTCCAAAACCAGGAGTAATAATGGCACTAACAGCCTGAAAAACTTGAGATGTTCAGTATTGTATCATAACAGCATCAAGAGAGCTAGATACGCTGACCAGAAAACTGGAGCGCTTTGTAACAGTACGGCTGAAATGTAGCTGCTTATGTGGCCATTGTGTTGAATAATGGCCACCCCCACAGACAACACTGGTATGGGGATGAAGCCTGAAGTGACAATGTCAGTTACGACTTGAAGTACCAGCAAACAAACCTGCTTGACCTGTCAGCAACTGTGATTCAAAGTGCCAGCTTCATACTGTCGAAGGCTGCAAAGGTGACCGCCATCCAAAGAATGCAGTGGTTCAGAGGCGCTAGTGCTATGGTCTTGATCCTGATTCAAAGAAAGCAGCCGTTCTTTGGCACTGTTGGAATTGGTCTGCAAAATCAAAGGACCAGCCCCTCAATAGCAGGTGCCGCTATTAACCTTGTATTTGAAGTGCCAATCAAAAGACAGTGCGAGAACCAGTCCAGTGTATACTCTAAATAGCAGATGCTCAATGGGCAACTCTGCTTCAAAGCTAATCTTTTGAGTTTCTAGCCGTGTTCCGCCAGTGTTGGCAGTATTGCATGTATTAGTAACAACGGCTCCTGTAACAGCCCTGCCAAAACGCTCTCATGCCCATAGTGCTAACAAATGTCTAGACCCAGCATGTGACTTCTCATATGATATAACATCAGACACTTCACTTACTCAGCAGTGATATCATATAGAATGCGGTGGAACACTATGGAATATGTACCTCTATTTATATGAACTGTACAGTACCAGATGTATTTTAGTATATATACCCTTGCAATAGATGGAGACTCCTCAGCAAGTTCTCCCATTGAACACCATCTCCCCTTCTATCATCACAACTTCCTCTCGAGTTCCTTGTTGTGTGCACCAGAGTATAACAACTTTTGGGTATTGTGACATGTATGTTTTCCTGAAGAGAATAACAACATTGGCTCTCAAATGGACTTTAGCAGACAGTCCTCCAACTAAAGCAGCTAGGCTTGAAGCCAATAATTGCTGGGACATCATAGCTGGGGCAATGTGGGGTGACTATCAGGCAGAGCTTGCATGCAGGGGTTTGAATTGAATTAAATAAGTAGTACTAAATCATACGTGTGTTTTTCTCCTGTATATCTGTCACATTATATATAAACAGTGTGGATTATACCATTTTCAAAGTACAAAACATTACAGTGAAAATAAATACAAGGTACATAAAAACAGAATATAACCTATACTTTGTTAATGAATGACTTCAACTATGGCCAACACAGTTCATCCCACTACAACATTACAAGGTAAGGTTCCACTATTGTTGAGTCAGATCCGAAAAGTTCAACCATGTGTAGAAGAACTGGCAGTGGTAAGTGATGATCATCTTTATGCCGGTGTAGAAGTGCAAGGTGTAGACATGCAGTAGATAGATCTGTAGCATCCACAATGGTATGAGTGGGAGTAGCAGGGGAAGAAATGGAGCTAGTGCCAGAGACAGATGTA